CAAAAGAGGAGCCAAAAAGCAATGCTTACAAAAGCATTCTCTTTTCACAGTTACAAGCGGAGAAAGAGTAAGAATTACGCGATTTCATTTTCCGTACTTTGTTTTTCATTTTTCCATTTGACGCAGTCGAAGAACGCTTGTTTTGTGATACAGCTACTCTTTACACAATGGATGACAGACCAATCATTATGTCGCCTATGCAAGATCAAGACTCTGTCAGACCAAACGGAAAGAGTCGCCTCGTGATTTCCTGAAGGAAATGGGGCTCATCATCAATGATCAGGTAAATGTTGGATTTCGCATAGAGGACACAGGAAGCAACTTGCAGACTTGCTTTTAAATATCCATTTTCAATGTCGTTAGACCATAGACGAAAAGAGAAGTATTTAACGAGCCGTAGCTTTACCTATTACGTTCTGCTATAAATAGATCAATGTTCGGACTTCTATCGTTTGAAAAAAAATAAATATCACAAGGTAAAACTCTCTTGCGGATTGGTATTTTCAAATGCTGTTATTGTTCTTTACGTCATGTATTGTAGTTTTTCGAAACACACAAAGCCACTCACAAGAATATTCAAATGCGCCTCAAATTAGGTTTTCTTCCTTCGGAGCCTGAATTGTTCTTCTATCGAATGCGTGTCCCACCTTTGCAAACCTTGTGAGCTGAGACTCTGTTCTGCGTTTCATTGTTGGGGACCCTATCGGTGCTACAGAGAAGAATGACAAATAGTTGGGCACTCGATACATCAAGCGAGAGCTAAAACTGTAGCAACAGAGCTTCTTACAAGTGATGGCTTGGAAAAGTGGGCGGGGGGGGGGGATAGGCTTACAGCTGGCCATAAAAATGGATCTTTGGGGCGGTTTATTTTTAGAAAACTCCGCACTTTAAAACCGTACCTCACACAAAAAGGAATATGTGAAAATAATTTTTTTCTTTTTTTCGATGTTGCTTTGTGTAATAGAAGAGGTATACAGGTTTGTGTAACTCATTCCAAATTTTTTTTTTTTTTTTTTTTTCTTCTTCGTTTTTTCGGTCTTTTCTGTTTTGACAGTTTACCTTCTCGTATATAATTGTTGTGAAATCAACGCATTTTGAACAGCTCTTTTCTTTCACCAACCCCATTCGGTATTGCTTAAACTGTTTGTGTTTTCTTCAGAGCCTCCTCTCTCGTGGTGACAAGAATCCCAGATCAACTATGCAAAACTATCAAATTTTATTTTGCTTCATTTCCATATTATCCATAGCGCAATGCTGGTCTCCCACTAATTCTTATGCTCCAGGAAAGGTGCAGTGCCCAAGCTCAGATATCTTGAGAGTCGCCGATAGTGTGTCCCCAGAGGAGCAAGACTGGCTAAAGGGAAGGGATGAAGTAACCAACAAGAAGCTTGTCGAATTTCTCAAGTATGCCAATATGACGGATATTGATCCCGAGGATTATGGAAACTTGAACAAAAGTATTCACATTGGATTGGCATTTTCTGGTGGTGGATACCGTGCCATGTTGAATGGAGCGGGCCAATTGAGTGCATTAGATGAAAGAACAAAGGGTCCAAATGGAGAAAAAGCTAAAGGTTTGAACGGTTTGCTTCAAGCCAGTACTTATATTGCCGGATTATCCGGTGGCAGTTGGATGGTTGGCTCTATTGCGTTCAACAACTTCACATCTGTCCAAGACATTGTTGACCACAAGACTGACATTTGGGACTTGAAGCATTCAATCGTCAACTATGGTGGGTTGAATGTGGTGAAAACTTACAAGTACTACAAAAGTATCTCAGATGATCAAGATGCCAAAGAAAAAGCCGGGTTTGAATTATCATTGACGGATACTTGGGGAAGAGCATTATCGCATCAATTTTTAAGTACACTAGATGATGCAGGCGCAGGATTAACATTTAGCTCTATTCCAGATTGGGACGTATTCAAGAACCATGAAATGCCTTTCCCAATTTTTGTTAGTGATGCTAGAGCTCCTCACACCAAGATTATTAGCATCAACTCAACATTGATAGAGTTCAATCCATTTGAAATGGGAAGCTTCGATGCCAGCTTGTTTCAGTTCTCCAAAATGAAGTACTTGGGAACTCCATTGAGGAACGGAAAAGTCAATGATTCGTGCTATTCAGGTCTTGACAATGCTGGTTTTGTCATGGGATCCTCGTCAAGTTTGTTTAACCAGTTCGTTTTGCAAATCAACACAACATCATTGTCTTCTACAATCAAATCTATCATTACATCATTTTTAAAAGAAGTTGACAAAGACGAAGATGACGTGGCTATATACCAACCAAACCCATTTTTCCAAACTAATGTTGGTAAATCAGATCATCTTGCTCAAAATGAGACTCTCACTATCGTTGATGGAGGAGAAGATGGCCAAAACATTCCATTAAATCCCTTGATTCAACCAGTCAGGGATGTTGATGTTATTTTTGCATTTGACAACTCAGCAGATCACAATAATTGGCCAAATGGAAATTCCTTGACCAAAACTTATGCTAGGCAATTCACTCCTACCGGAAACGGTACCATTTTCCCCCATGTTCCAGACACCGATACATTCATTAACTTGAACCTCACAGCTAAACCAACATTCTTTGGGTGCGATGCCAGAAATTTGTCTTCGTTGTTTCAACAAAGAAACATTTCCTTCACCAATGATTCTGATCCATACACCGTCTACGACTCTCCATTGGTAGTCTACACAGCCAACCGACCATTTTCGTATTGGACCAACACATCCACTTTTAAATTGCTGTACAAGGATAGCGAGAGAAACTCCATCATCAGAAATGGATTCGAAGTTGCATCAAGAAAGAACTTGACCTTGGACCCCGAATGGCCTGCGTGTGTTGGATGTGCAATCATCAGAAGACACCAGGAGAGAAACGGAGAAGAACAAACTGAGCAATGTAAAAGATGCTTTGAAAGATATTGTTGGGACGGAAGTTTGGATAATTCAAATGCCAGTGCAAAATTCAACTTCACAGACCAAGGTTCTACCAGTGCCAACGAGGGAACGAAAGTAAGCGGAGCAAACCTGATGTCGTTCAGTTGGACTTTATGGTTAGGATCCTTAGCTGTTTTTAGCTTGTTTGTGTTCCAGCTGTTTTGAGTCAGCTAAGCCTGCTAGGCTAGAAGTGAAATAGACTAAATGTATCTTATAATTTGCCAAACGAAAAGTTCATTTTATTCATCGTTGTCCCGTGATGTAATCACTCCCAACAGGCTTTGTGCAAGCTTCGTAGATCTGGTCTTACAAAACCGACAGTATTCTAATTACAAAGTAATGTAGTGTATCGGTTGTTTTTGTGAGAGCACGCTTGTGCATCTCCCTTATGGCAATTTCATACTTCTGAGTATCTTATAAGCAAGGTCATGATCTTGTTCGAAGGTGGTAGTCTTGATAGGTCGACTGCAATTGACAAATATGACTTTCTTTCACTTTGGTTGGAACCGGTCCGCTTTTGAGGCTTAAAAAAATTAAAGTAAAAGAAAAAGAAAAACACACGCAGAGAACAATATGCAATGCATGAATTTAAAAATAGCTGGGAATACTTTGGGTGTCGGTTTGAACGGGCTTAGTTTGTGCTAGCTCCGAAAAGCTTTAGTATAAAAAGGGAAAACAATTCCCCCTCCCCTCCAAACATCAATGTGTAAGTGGCATCTTCATTCTATCAATTTCGAAGTTTGTTTGCAATTGTCAAGGTTTTCAAGTTACTGAGAACTTACATTCACAATGCAGTGGCGTCGGACTCTTGTTTCGACACTAGCATTCATATCCGCCGCGCAATCTTGGTCTCCCACAGACTCCTACGGACCGGGAAGAGTACAATGCCCCAGCTCTGACATATTGAGGGTCGCAGATAGCATATCAGAAAACGAAAAATCATGGCTCAGCGGAAGGGATAAAGTAACAAACGAAAAGATTGTCGAGTTTCTCAAGTATGCTAATATGACTGATATTGATCCCGAGGATTATGGAAACTTGAACAAAAGTATTCACATTGGATTGGCATTTTCTGGTGGTGGATACCGTGCCATGTTGAATGGAGCGGGCCAGATGAGTGCATTAGATGAGAGGACTAATGGACCAAACGGGGGCAACGCAAGTGGATTGAATGGATTATTACAAGCCAGTACTTATATTGCCGGGTTATCCGGTGGCAGTTGGTTAGTCGGATCAATTGTCTTCAACAATTTCACATCTGTCCAAGACATTGTGAACCAAAACACTGATATTTGGGACTTGAAGCATTCCATTGTCGATTATGGTGGGTTGAATGTGGTGAAAACTTACAAGTACTACAAAGGAATCTCGGATGATATTGATGACAAGGAAAATGCTGGGTTCAATACTTCGTTTACAGATATCTGGGGAAGAGCATTGGCTCACCAGTTTCTCACCACTCTCAATGACACAGGAGCATCGTTGACGTTTAGTTCTGTTCAAGATTGGGACGTATTCAAGAACCATGAAATGCCGTTTCCAATATTTGTCAGCGATACCCGAGCAGAGGGAACCAAAATCATCAATTTGAATTCGAGTTTGACTGAATTCAATCCATTCGAGGTGGGAAGTTTTGACAAGAGTATATATCAGTTTGCAAACATCAAGTATTTGGGCACAGAGTTGAAAGATGGAGATACAAATGGAACTTGTATCGGTGGATATGATAATGGAGGCTACATTATGGGAACTTCGTCGACCTTGTTCAACCAATTCTTGTTGCAAATAAACACCACTAGCTTACCGTCGGTCGTGGTCGATGTTGTGACATCACTATTAAATCGTGTAAGTGATCACGAAGACGATGTTGCAGTTTATGATCCCAACCCGTTTTACGATACAACTGTTGGCGCTTCAAGTAATTTGGCAGGTAACGAAACCTTGACGTTAGTTGATGGTGGTGAGGATGGCCAAAATGTGCCACTCTGGCCCCTTATACAACCAGTTCGTGATGTTGATGTTGTTTTCGCATTCGACAATTCTGCTGATACCGAGGGTAGCTGGCCCAATGGTACATCGCTTATAAAAACTTATGAAAGGCAGTTTGTCAACGCAGGTAATGGTACTATTTTCCCCTATGTGCCAGATGCAAATTCATTCATCAATTTGAATTTGACGGCCAAGCCAACATTCTTTGGCTGCGACGCTAAAAACTTGACAACTTTGCTTCACAACAACAACACCAACAGTAACCTGTCAAATTCGTATACTGTTTATGACTCACCATTGGTTGTATACATTGCCAACCGTCCCTTTTCATACTGGACCAACACATCAACTTTCAAGTTGCTGTATGATGACGATGAACGGAACTCAATCATCCAGAACGGGTTCGAAGTGGCATCAAGAAACAACTTGACGTTGGATTCGGAATGGCCTGCGTGTGTTGGATGTGCAATCATCAGAAGACTGCAGGAAAGGAATGGCGAAGAGCAATCTGAGCAATGCAAACAATGCTTTCAAAGATATTGTTGGGACGGCAGCTTAGATTCAACAGGAACCAAGTACAACTTTACTGAAACTGGTACTACCAATGGAGAGGAGAGCAGTTTGGAGAGTGTTTCCAGTTCCTCAAGCACATCCAGCTCGAGCAGCTCCTCACACAGTGGAAAAAAGAATGATGCTAGTGCTTCTGCATTGAACTGGAGCTCATTGCTTGGATTGGCTGCCCTAGTCGGGTTGACTGTTCTTGATGAATTTTAAGTTTTTGTGATAGATCTATCAACGCTATTTGGTTGTAGAGTGAATACGTTGCATTATATTCTTTGATTCTCAACCAGCAATGGTATTGCTAAGTGTTATTTGTAGAATTCTCAAAAAGTATTGAAAGATGTGGTATTAACCACTTGTCATTAGAGTCTTTTATTCAAGCAATGCCACTTCGAACTCTTTTCAGTTGAGTGTGTGTTTAATGTGCTTAAGGTTCTTTGGTGCGTGGCGTAGTAACCAAGAAAAAAACCCGCGCTAGTGACGGACTTTGCTTCCTAATGCGGTCACAATTTCCCGAGCGCAATCAACGTTTTAAAAAATGTGCTGCGGGATCAGAAATCTTCAACCAAAAGAGCTGGTACACTCTTTTTCTCTTCAAACATTTTAACTACAACCTCTCACACACCATGGCATTCAAAACTAACGCATCAATTACCCAATTCGGGGGTAAATTGTTGAAATTGACTCATGATTCCAAACTTACCAGAACACCAATGAATGTCAATGTCTTTATCCCGCCATCTTCTAAAGCAGCCCAGATTCCCGTGTTGATTTATCTTTCTGGATTGACATGCACACCAGAGAATGCCAGCGACAAGTCATTCTTCCAATACTGGGCCAGCAAATATGGATTTGCATTGGTGTTTCCCGACACATCACCAAGAGGAGCCGAAATCAAGGGCGAAGAAGATAGCTGGGATTTTGGCACCGGCGCTGGTTTCTACGTCAATGCTACTCAACTGCCTTGGTCGACCAACTATAACATGTACTCGTATGTGCACGAGGAATTGATTGATGAGTTGAGCAAGGAGTACAAAGAGTTGGATTTTGAGAACATCTCAATCACTGGTCATTCAATGGGAGGTATGGGTGCCTTGGTTGGGTTTTTAAGAAAACCGAGAAACTATAAATCTGTTAGTGCATTTGCACCAATTGCAAACCCTAGCGTTGTCCCCTGGGGTGAAAAGAATTTTGGCGGTTATTTGGGTAATGATAAGACTAAATGGGCAGAGTACGACCCAACTGAATTGATTAAACATTTCAGCGGTGATGACGAGTCGACTATATTGATTCATCAAGGATTGAGTGACAACTTTTACGAAAGAGAGTTGAAGCCGGAGAATTTCGTCAAGGCTGCCAAAGGTTACAAGGGAGAGGTTGATTTGAAATTGGTTGATGGGTATGACCATTCGTATTATTTCATTAGCTCTTTTGTTGAAGAACATGCTAAACACCATGCTAAGTATTTGGGATTGTTATAACTAAACACGGTTGAACCGAGACTCTAAAATCTTTTTCTAGCTGAATTTGTTGATCCAAGTGGTGTACCAAGTTGCCTTTTTATCATTGTTATGTATAGATTCACCCAATTTGGCAAGTTTGCGAGAATGTGATGACATCTCTTTTGTAATTAATCCTGTTTGCGATGTGATCGTCCTGTTCATCATCAAGTCAACAATCAATTTATCAATCAGGTTTGAGATTTTTCTTTGTAGAGTGTCAATCTCATCTATTTGGGAGCCAGTGGTCGATTTAGGCAAGGACTTTTTGAACGACGGGAGAAGAAGTTTGATCAACTCAATCTTCTTGATCCATTCTTCAGCATATGTTTTTAGCTCTGCTGTGTTCTCTTCATACTCAGCATCCTCCGAAGCAAGCTTTCCAGCATCTTCCTCACTTTTCACCTCTTCCTCTTCCCCTTCCTCCTCATCGTCATCGCTAAATCCAAATGGATCATCATCCATGTCGACTGGGTTCTCTGTCCACTCAACAAACTCATCAAATCCATCATCAATCAATCCAATGCTCTGCTTGATTTCCGATGTGAGTAAACTCAATGCTCCATTGCTGATCAATGCCGTGAGGGAATCGCAATTTGACCAAATCTTCCCTACAGACACCAACCTTGCTGAATCTTCTTTCACTTCGTAAATATACGCAAGCTCATTTGCCAACTCATGATTCGACTCTATTAGCTGCGTGGCTTGGCAAACTATCGCATTGTAAAACAATTTTGAAATATAGTTGGCTTGAAGTTGTGATACAACCGATACCAACAAGATTAGTGTTTCTGAAAGTTTCTCCAACGTAGTGTAAGCTGTATGTTCCTGTTTGGCTAACGTTTCAGGATTGAATATTATCCCTACTTTTGTTACATGCGCTTTAATCAACTTGACTAACTTCAATAGCTCATCTAATGGATCGGCCACTTTTGCTGCCTTAATTCGAGAAATCTTATCGCTCGTCAAATTAGTAACCCAATACAGTGTAGCATCTTTGAAAGAAACTAATAAAGCTTTCAAATCCTTCGACATGAGAAGGGGTGTGTGTTTTTCGTGCTACAGAAAGGTAAACTATACCCTACAAAGTTTTCTCATTCATCATTTTATTTTTATTTTTTTTTTTTTTTTTTCTTTTACCAATCATCATCATCTTCATCATCACTATGGGCAACTTTGCCTTTACGCTTGTTCAATGCTTGAGATAAAGCATCTGCCAAACTAGCGGGTGGAGCACCAGGGGCATTTCCTCCTCCACCCGCAGCTCCAGAGGTATCATTACTCTGAACTGGCTCACCCCTTGCTTCTTGTAGTATAACACTAGGCTTTTCCAATTGTGATTTGTCAGTCTTTTTCAAAGAGCCAATACCGGCACCTCTAATTGAAGATAAAAGTGCATCCCTTCCAGCGTCTCCTGTAGATTCCGCAAAAGACCCACTCGACATATTTGGAGGGGGAGGAGCTGGTGGTGCAGGGGTGGATTTGTCAGGTGCATGCGACATTGTTGGTGGAAGAGGTGGTGGCGGTGGTGGAACTGTCGATTGACCATACGGTTGTGTTTGCGGCTGTTGCGAGGGTGGCGCAGCCATGGGCCTTGGTTGGAGCGCAGGTGGAGCAGCAGTGTTCGGTTGTTGTTGCTGTTGCTGTTGCTGCTGCGCTGGTGGAGGAGGGAAGGCGGTTCTTGGTGGTACCTGTGGAGAACTGCTTGGATGCGCGGCCAGACTTCGGGGTGGTGGTGGTGGCGGTGCCGCACCTCTAGATGACCTTGGAGGAGGTGCGGGAGGAGGAAGATGTGATCCAGTCTGTGTTTGTGCGATAGGTGATGCTCTTGGAGGAGGGGCTGGAACATTGCCTTGTACCGGATGGTTAGCTCTGGGCGGTGGCGGTGGTGCATTGGCCCTAGCTGGTGGTGGTGGAGGGACGCCACCTCTTGCCGGCGGAGGTGGACCATTCTGAGGCGCTTGCTGTGCTTGATTAAATTGAAATGGGGGTGGAGCCTTATGGACAGTGTTGGCCAATGGTGGGGGAACAGCATGCTTTCTCTGCGTATCTTGTTGTGTTGGATACTGTGATGGTGGCGAAGGTTGATGCTGTGGTTGTAATTGTTGCTGTTGAGATGGCGGTGTGGGGAGTGGCCTTTCATTCGAAGCAGTTGTTGTTGTTCTAGAAGGGGGTGCAAAGGCAGCGGCAGGAGGAAGTCTAGAAGCTCGTTTCGCGAGCTCCGCAGCAGGGTCGGGCGTAAGCTCTGACGTGTGCGTTGGTGCGGGTGACAACGACTCAGTTTCTGGAGTTGGTGAATTGACTGATTGGTTCGAAGATGGGACTTCATATGGTGAAGATGTTTGATGTGCTAGTGGCGGCGGTGGAGGAGCTTTCTTGTGCTTCATACTTGATTTTGATTCCGGTATTGATGCCACATCTTCACCTTTATCAATTCCAGTGGCCCTTTCATGGGCTCTTTGATATTTCCTGGGGATTGGTGGCTCTAGACCGACAAGGGGGCCTCCCTGTTGAGCAATATAGTCTTTAATAAATTGTCTGTTGTCTACAATCATGTCTTCGGTGATACCTGCAGACTCCAACTCTGCATAAAGTGACTTCCATTCCGGGGGTGGAACGTCATCATAATACAATACCCCTTTTGCTCGTCTTTGTCGTTGAGCAGTATTCACATCCATAAACTCACCTCTTGGGCCAGGTGCATTTTGTCCTTTTGGTTCCACCCTTTCTTTCAAAGCTATGGCATTTTTGTTCTTTACTGTTGCACTTGATCCATGTTTCTGACGATGTGTAACACGCTTATAAAAATGAGAGGCGTCATTGGTATCTTCAAACAATAACCCCACAAGGCAATCTTCAATTTCAAATGTGTGAAAGAACTTCCGGTCCTGGTTATACTCAAAGTCTACATAAAGCTCTTGATCCCATACTACGCCTCGGTGCCCAGTTATATCAACAAGTTTGAGGAAGAAAGTGTGACCCACCAAGTCGTCGACTAGCGCAATGGCGCCCACTAATCCCGTGTAAACCCACTTCGTTGGATCGGGGTAAGCAATGTACAAACGAGCCACTGTAGCATCAATGATTTTGTTGCTAGCTTTGGGAATAGTTCTCTTGATCTTCTCCTTGTCTTGAGTGGTAAGTATTCCCATTCTTTGCCGTTCAATTGAAAAAGGTTGAATGGTGTATAAAAGTGAACAGAAAATTAGGAGCTTTCGAAGAGAGGTAGCGCGGAGTTACTTTGCTGTATTGGTCCAAAAAGAGAGAGAGAGAGAGAGAGAGAGAAAGAGAGAAAATTTTCCACATCTACACGAACACCGCACACACTCCCACTACTATCAACCAAGACCAAATAGTTAACGCATACTTAGTCATGTCAGGGCGCCAAGGTGGAAAAGCTAAGCCTTTGAAGGCTCCAAAGAAAAAGCAACACGAAGATGATGAAGAAGATGCCGCTTTCAAAGCCAAGCAAAAGGCTGATGCTGCTGCTAAGAAGGCGATGGCCGAAAAAGCCAAAAAAGGAGGTCCAATGGTTGGTGGTGGAATCAAAAAGAGTGGGAAAAAGTAAATCAGTGTCAAATTAGATATTGAGTTGGAAGCGGTGAACTAGTTGGAGAGAATACATTGTCGTTATAGCCCCATTTCTGATACTTGGGTTCTCGAAACTCGATGTGCCGGTGACTGGACCCGTTAATTTAACTTCTAAAAGATATTCAATTTACAACTTTGCATTTGTTTCTCAACACGTTTTCTTTCGTTGTCTTTAGATGACATTATAATGGCAGATGATCATCAACTGTGAATTGTAGGCAATGTCATTAGAACCTCTTGTATTCATTTCAATAGATTTGCAGTGATTACATTGAAATGTCGTGTTTTATCTCTAAAGATGACGAACGTCGTTTCTGCGATGGTCTCTTGTCGCATTGCAAGCTCAAAAACCACGAGTTGACTGGCCTTGCGCTATTGAAAACTTCGAATACCAGAAGTCAAGGAGCTTTCCTTTCAGGATGGACCCCCTTCTTTTGATCGAATTTTGTGACATAGGTTAGATGCGTAAGCAGTTGTATTTTAAACTGTCATTTCACGTGTTTGTGTTTGGTGTAGCTGTGAAGAGAAGAAGAGTATACGTATAATAATAAATATGTGAAGATGATACTTCTGTGGTGTCTCTTTCCTATTTGAGTTTAAATTGGCAGAATTGGAAAGTTTTTTACGCGCGTGTAATTATGACACAAACCAAAGCACCCAATTTATAATTATGAAATATTCATTCCCACTTGAGCTAATGGACAGTTGAACGTGATGACTGACTGAAACCATTTCCTTACGTCAAATATCAAATCATTCCCCATTTGTTTAAATTTATTCATTTATTCAGTCAAACTACACCCACCAGACTCAGTTATTCTTTTTATCACAGCACATATCCGCAATGTCCTTGACTCCTATATCTACACCCACGAAAAAAAGAACCATTACAGATATATCAAACACATACACTACTAGCAATAAAGTCGGACTACCTTTGACTCCGACAAAAACACCAACAAAGAAGCAGAAACTTGATGTCAGATCATCTCAGGTTGAAGAACCTTCGTGCAGACGGAAATTGATATTCACTACTGCATCGACACCAACTAAACTGCCACTGCTCCTCGAGACTCCAAAATCGACGCCAACTTCATTATATTCGCAAGCCAAGGCATTGTTTCAAAGGGGTAGCAAGAGCGAACAATTGAGTCAGGAATTACAGCTACCTAGTCGTGAGAAGGAAGCTTCCTTCGTCAATAGTTTCATTCTCAAGAATTTGCAATCAGAGCAATCAAATAGTTTATACATTTCTGGTCCTCCAGGAACAGGGAAAACAGCACAGGTCAATTTGAGTTTACAGAAATATGAGCATGACAAGAGTATAAAGATTGTACGAATCAATTGTATGACTTTGAAGAATCCTGAACTGGTTTTCCATGAAATCTACGCATCTTTAATCAATCAGCTAAGTATATCATTCACCAAAAGGAAAAGCTACGACGATTTATACAAAATAGTGGACAGTGACAACAATTTCAAACACATTGTGCTATTTCTTGATGAATTGGACTCATTGTTGACCCAGAATCAGCAAGTATTATTCAAACTATTCCAATTGGCCAATTCACAAAGTAAGGTGACAACGAAAACAAAAGTAATCTTGATTGGTATATCAAACACCCTCGATTTGAACAACAAGTTTCTTCCCAAATTGTTTACTAACAATATGATTCCGGAATCTGTACAATTTCTACCATACTCAGCAGCACAAATTAAGTCGATTATAACAGCAAAACTAGCCAAATTTTCAACTACTATCTTCCATCCCGTTGCACTACAGTTTTGTTGCCAAAAAGCCGCTTCCATCTCAGGAGACTTACGTAAAGCTTTCGATATCTGCTACAAAAGCATTGAGTTATTGGAGATGGAACAACGCGACAACTGCGTAGTCAGCGATGCAAATGTCAAGCCAGTCATGATGTCACATGTTGCAAAGGTATGCGCCCAGTTGTTTACATCAAATACACCCTTGTCGTCACTTAGTGTGTTGCACAAGTCGATATTGTGCCATCTATTCAACTTTCAGTTGATCAAAGGTACCATCACAATCAATCTGTTTTATGACCACTTCAAGAAACAACAACAAGATGACCAGATGCTGCTGAAACTTTTGGGAGTCGTGAAATCAAGTGAGTTTTTGGAGATGTTGACAATGTTGGAGAGTAACAATTGTATTGTTATGGAGTCACTGGGATTCCATAATGATAATAATAAAAAGATGGTGAAGTTAAATGTTGATTATGATGAATTGGCAAAGTCAATTGAAGGTATTGGATTTTTGAAGAAATTGTTGAAACACTCAAGAGGTTAGAATATTTAATGAAATAATATATATGAAGCTACGTAAACATTGTTACAATAGTATGCCATCGATTTGTATTCAAGTACACCAAAGTAGTATTCATCGTTAGCTGGTTGGGTATGTTTGAAGTCATTTGAATTAAGTGGGAATTACGTAATAAAGCAAGCTGTCATTACATAGTAGATTAGCTAAGACTGGTAGAGTGTAAAGTGAGAGAGAGACGAAACAGAAAAAAACAAGACAAAATTTTCCTATTTTTCCATACACAATCATTAAGTATACTACTATAACCAGTCATTACCACACACACACACACACACACACACACACCTTTCGTATTGAGCTTCTGCAGTTACATACACATTCACCTATCTATATATACTACTCACACCCCTGAGGATAGCTCTGTCAACTACAAGAACTCGATTGATTACTTTTTTTTTTCAATATTTATGCTGCCCTTCACATTAGTCATATATTAAGTCTACCACACTGGCCTACAACTACAACTATAACGTTAAGAGAAGACTATTCATTATTGCAAGGAACAAAGACGTATCCAGGAGTAGACAGATTTCATCCTTTTGATTGATTAAGACAGTATCGAACATTCCGTGTTTGGTTATTTCGCAAATTCAACACTCATAATTTCTAAGCATATATTAGAGTGGTGCCAACCAGCCAGCTATCGCTCGTTACTCATCTGCCACAATCACAGATGTCGTCCTCAAACCCCAATAGAGGTGGCAGGTTTGGTTACCAAGGAAGCAAGGATTGGATAAATAGTAGCAGATCGCGAAGGAAAAACTTTTATTCATCTGAGTCCACTGCAGCAGCAGCCGCTGGAGCTGGAGCTGGGGGTTCAGGATCACTACCGAATTCGGCTACAGCCACAACACTGTCCAATGAAGCAACATCAACTACCCCCAACTTATCACGACGAGATTTCAAAAGCAACGGGCCAGGCTCTTCTTCTCTTACCCATCTGAAAGATGCACAACCTGTCAGAAACGGATCAGCTTATTCATCAAACTATTACTCTCATCTGGGGTATGGCTCATATGATTCCAGTCTGTATCGAGCTGAGGGGTGGAGAAAAACAAGTGGAGAGTTACGACGACTGGTTGGAAACCAGAAACCCACCCTTTCTGGATCATCTTCCGGCTCATTATCTTCAACTTCATCACCTACTAGTGGATACAAAAATGGGCGTTATGACTCATATAGAGCAGACACAAATTCATATGGATCTAGGTGGAAAAGTGGACGTAATTTTGCCGCTTCATCGACGCGATATTCAGCCAAAGACAGAATAAGAAATGGGAAGCCCTCATTGAGTAATCTGTATGTACCAAGCAGCAATAGTGTTCCCTTGGGAGCATCGGCTGCAAACAGTTATGATTCATATAGTCCTTCAGCGGGCCAAGCAACATTCAAGTACGAATCACCAAAAGCCTATGGGTCATATTATTCAAGTTCATGTCCCGAGGACAAGAGTTCATCGTTGTCTCAACTGCGGCCACCGTACTTCACTCCTAGACCATACAAATCTAGGTACGGAGGTAGCCGATACGGTGGAAGCACATTGATCAATCCCGTAGAGAAAAGGGCTAAAGAGGAGGAACTCGAGGGAGACCAAGATAGTCAGAATGATTATGAAAATAATGATGATGTTGATAGCATCTCGAATATCAGACGTCACGATGAAGACACTCAAAGTGAAGCTACGGAAAATGAAGAGCGTAATACTGAAATCAAAGAACGTATAGGGCATGAGAATATCGATGCTGATCAGACACAGGATGATGAATCTTTGCAAGCCATTGAGCAAAACCTGGTAGAAACCTCAGCTGAACCAGAGCTGAAGGACGATCTTTTACGGGAAATATACTCGAGGAAAGCACGGATTGAAACACCCCCGGTCGTAGCCGAAGTCGAATCAAAGGTGAAAATTGAGTATGAAGAAACAAGTGCCGTTGATGGTTCTGAAATTGTCTACAGGTACCCTCTTCCTGAAATTCCGCACAAATATGAAGAAATGCGGAGAGAATTTCAGCAGTCAGGTGGGAAGTCTTTGAAGTACTTGTTGGCGGCTCCCATTCACGAATTTAGTGACTATACATTTTTTATCAACAACTATGAAGAGTTTCAAAAGAGGAAAAGAGACGCACTTGTCAATATATTACGAGAAAAGACTTTGAATGTCCAATCCAAAACCTTGGATTTGCTGCAGGCTTACAAAGAGATGCTGAAGAAATGGGAAGAACGGAGAATGAAAATGGAACAACAACTCCGAGTTTTACACCCACCTGATGATGAGATGAGAAGAGAGCTCGATTCGAGCGATATGAGGAAGCAGAATCAGCAACAAGCTTCCGCTGGGAACGCCAGTAGCACCCCTACACAGGTCAGCTCTTTTGACTTGCCTACGGTGTCGAGTCGACGTAGCAGTAGAAGACATGGTGATTTGGTAACTACGGAGGCAGAATTTCAAGAGATTTTACTCACTTTGGGTCAAGAGCAAGAGGACCCTCTTTTGAAAGCGGACAGAGTATCTGCCAATATCCCAGACATGATATTAGACCCGGTAGAGAAGAACGAGGTCAAGTTTATGGACGCCAACAATATTGTTAGAGACAAGGATACGTGGGCAAGTCGAGTGAAGACAGATTTCCACAATACATTTTCAGAAAAGGAGCATGCGTTGTTCACGGAGGCGTTCTGCTTGTTTCCAAAACGGTTTGGTGCAATTTCAAGGTATATGGGTGGCTTAAGAACCGCGTCCGAGTGTGTTCTTCATTATTACATGACGAAGAAGAGTGTGAATTACAAACAGTTGTTGATGCAGCGTCGTAAGGCAAGCAAAAAAACCAAGAAAACCAAGAGTGCCGGTCGTCCGAAATCTACCCCCCAACCACCAATTGATCAAACTGTTGGTAATTTGGAGGTTCCAAGCGGTACAATTACAGATAGTATCCAGGATGTTGGCTCTATTGACACGAGTGAGTCCACCGTATTCCAGACTACAGGAATGCCATCCGTGGTGGAGCTGTCAGAGATTCAAGTAGATAGAGGCAATAAGAAACGTGCTCCTCGCGAAAGAGCCACGGAAAAGAGAAAGCAAAAGCCGGGATCTGCTCTTACAGCTGATGGGCAAAAGCCAGCAGAAAAGAAACGGAAAACTACCGCTAAGAAACAAGCTTCCGAGGAGGGTGACACGAAGCCAGCAGAAAAGAAAAAGAAGAGAGTAGGCAAGAAACAAGCCGCGGAAGAGGCGTTGACATCAAACGTGGCAGGCATAGTTCCAGGTTTGAATTCAAATCTGAAAGTCACAATTGGAGCTTTGCCATTGAAGAATGCGACAAATGGTTTACAATCTGAATTGTACACTGGGTCTGCTCCAATTGCGCAACAATATGTGTACCAGCAACAACCGCACCAGACGGTTACTCTTCCCGTTCAGTATTCACAGCGAACTGAAGAACAGAGTTCTCGCCCTCATCAACAATACGAGCAACTGATTCAGTTTCAGCAACTGCAACAACAACAAGTGTATGCTCAGTACCAAGCACAATATCAAGGTTTGTATCAAGCACAGCTGCCATCTTTTGCTCCCCAGAGGTCTGCACCAGTGTTTCCATCTATTCGCAATCTTCTTTCTGAGCAAAGCGCAGCACTGTATCAGCAACCTTTTACACCACTTGCAAGTGCAGAACAACAACAGCAACAACAACTACCACAACAGCACTCCTTGCCATCGTATCAGCAAGAGGTGCCACTCGCCGCAGCACAAGTAGCCAAACCCTCGTCACATCGCACAAGTTCCATTATGAATCTTTTGAATCAGGATGAAAAGCCGGCTGCGGCCCAGCAACAAAGAGCCAAAACTAACTTGCGTGATCTTTTGAACTGATGACCCATGCGGCTCACCAGTTACCTCAATGTCCATGCCACTACTTTATCATTTTTCAGTTCACTTCTGTTTATAATTTTTAATGATGTATTAGGTACTTTAATGACAATTTAACAAATGCTTTGTGTATCCTGTAGTCACATGCCACACGTCACGTGCCCTCCTCTTTTTTTTTTCTTTTTTTGTAAAATTGAGAGTAGGAAAAAGTTTTTCAAGAAAACTGTTGGAACTTCAGAGGTATAACGACAACGACAACGACAAGCACTTAGAATATGTCTAGCTTGTTAGCATCTCAGTTTCATAGGCTAAGTCTACGTCTCAGTAGAAGATGTTTCAGTCACACATCTATCGCTTGTGAAGAGATAATTGTCACGACATCGTCCACTAGCACAACCACCACCACCACCACATCGAGCGACAATGTCACTTTTGACCAACAACTAACACGCAGCAACAAAGGACCCTCTACGACTCGGAATTACCCCCCTTATCAAGTCACTGAGAACTTGACCATGCCTGAACTAAATAGAATACGCACGACTCCAACCTTGATGACTTTCTACGGAGGGAACCCCATTCACGAAAACAACATGAATCATTTGAGACTGTTATTGCGTAAATACCAATACTTGCCAACTAAGTCATTGAGCGATGAGGAATTGCAAGTCCGCAAGTTTTTGGGGTACGAAGCGTACAAGGAGCGCACACAATCTGGAACTCGAGTTAAAAAGATTCATTATCGCGATTTGATATCAAGTTTGAATCGGTTACGAGTTATTGATTCGCAATTGATGCCGGTTGAAGTGATTGACACTTTGGAGAACTACTACTCTACTTCGGTTAACAAGACGGCGTTGAGCAAGAAGTTGAAACTGTTGGATGAGTTTGGTAGGGCTCAGTCTCAAGCCAAGAGAAAAGCTGCATTGGCTAAGATCTACCTTGTTAGGGGCGAAGGTTCAATTATGATCAATGGTAAGAGTGCCGTTGAGTACTTTACCAATGTCTATGCGAGAAAGAATTTGGTGTACCCTTTCCAAGTCGTTGGACAAGAAGGTCAATACAATGTGTTTGCTGAAGTGAGTGGCGGTGGGTACACGGGTCAAAGTGAGGCTGTCATGTACGCTATAGCTAAGGCGCTTGTGGTGTTTAACCCTTTGTTGAAACCCAGGTTGTCCAAAGCTGGATTGATGACTAGTGATGCGAGAGTCGTTGAAAGGAAGAAGCCTGGTAAGGTTAAAGCTAGAAAGTCGCCTACCTGGGTCAAACGTTAGACATTTGTACATAGTGTTTATATAATTAAACAGCCTTTTTCATCATCATCTAATCTATAATGTGTCTAAGTAGGATATGACGGATTCGATTTCACCTTTCAAGTAGGTGGTGATTTTACCTTGGAATGTTCCCTTACCGCCGCCTTTCAAATTTGAAATCTTTTGCTTCAACTCAGTGGCTATGTCATTTGCTTTAGGTCCCAATATCTTAACCATACCACCGTTGGATGTCTGATTACCATTGATCAATACAATAGTGTGTTTGTTAGTGATGTCTACACCACTATCCTTATTGGCATTGATCATAGTTGTAAGTTCCTTCTGTACTGTAGTCAAGTAGTCCGGGTTATTTTCTTCTCGATACACATACGCCACGCCATCTTCGGTGTTTTTCAACTTGTTGAAAATCTCAGTAGCTTTCAAATTGGCCAATTCTTTAGTCAAGTTTGCAATGGTTGAATTGGCTTTTCTGTAATTTGTACTCAATTGATCAACTTTCGTGACAACGTCATCGATCTGACACGACAATTGAGTACCCGAAACTGTTTTCAATATGTCAAAGTATTCACTAGCGATTTGAGCTACTCGTGCACCGCAAGTAAAGTATAAACGAGAATGGCCACCACGGATCGACGTTTGGTTCAATAATACAATAGATCCAATTTGTGCAGTGTTTGTCAAATGAGTACCACAACATGGATTAGAGTCAATATCATCGCCAATTTTCACAATACGCACGACACCTTTACTCTGGTCATAATCATCAGGCAAATGGCTTGTGTCAATTTCAACTCCGTGATCATCTCGAGTCACTACATGGACGGGGTGTGCTTCAAAAATGAGCTGATTGACTCGTTGTTGAACTTGTTGGACAACTTCATCAGATACTTTCTCCGGCAACTCAATGTAATTGATCACATTGCCCATTGACCACGATAAAGTGTCGAGTTTCAAAGTATCAAATACGGCTGAAAGTAAGTGTTGTCCCGTATGTTGTTGCATTATGTCTACCCGGCGGGTCCAGTCTACCTCAAGCTTGACTGGAGTTCCCGGCTCTAGCGGCTCATCAAGTATATGTACCGCTTTCAATTTATCACGAAGTATGGCGTTGACCTCAATAGTCTTGTTTTCAGATGAGGAGGGAGAAGAAGAAGAAGAAGATGATGATGATGATGATGACAAAGAAGAGGCACCTTCGTCGTTAAGTATGGTGACTGTGCCTTTATCAAAAGGCTGACCACCTCCCTCAGGGAACAAAACTGTATCTTCAAACTCAACTCCGAATTTCAATTCTTTTGGTGTATTGTTCTTGTTGTTTTTATTTTGTTTCTCTTTGGATGTGGATGGCGGGATGAACTCATAGCTGGAAACGACTTTTGTGTTGAGGGTTTTGAGAAATGAGTTCTTTTGGCATGCTAATGCTCCTACTATTGTCGAGGTTGCGGCGGTCATCGATACAATGGGGAGGAAAGAATACGTTGTTAATCGGTTGCTATAAGCTGAAATATGTTTTAAATTTTTCTACTCTAATTCGCTCAAGATTGGAAGAGTCAAAAAGTGAGTTTTTCTGAACGCGATGAATCATAATTCCAATTCCGTCGGTTTTCAATTCCGCTTTGGATTCATTCCCTCTTCTATAAAGCCATTTATTTCCTACTTAATGTAAAACCAATTATTATTGATGACGCAAGTACAGCCAACACACCAGGAACCAACACTTCATTAGCAATTCCAGTGACAAGGGGTTCAGGTTTATTTCCTCTTCTAACAGATTTAACTTCCTCAACCGACGGATGCAGGTGAGGATTGTGTAAATACAAGTCTGCTTTCTCATTTCCCAATCTTTTGTTAATACGAACACATTCAATCAAGTCTGTGTCAGTGGTGATAGATACAACATCCCCTTCATCATCGATGTAGCTTACCGCGACTTCTTCGTTACGAGCAAGGGACGATGATGAATCTTCTTCGGTCGCGTTCGGCTTGCTGACATTCAACTTGGCAAAATCATTGTCATTCAACTTTGAGTGTATCAACTTCCTCAACAACAAAACACCATCACTGGGTTTCAAAGTGATGCGGTGTACTCTTCCCTCTATAGCTGGAGACTTGAACTTAAAAATGTATGGCAAATCATCTTGGACGCTGTTGCTTACGCTTCCTGCAGCAGTTGAATCTTTATTTGGGGAGCCATCCGCGTGAGAAATAGAGTCAGAAGGTTTGATTTCAACATTGAAAGATTGGAACTCGGATTGGGTAATATCGGGGGCATTTGCCGCGGCACTTTCATCCATTAACGAATCTGAATGGACAGACTCAGTGTCATCCAAAGAAGTCCAAAACTTGTTCCACGCTGGGCCTTCATTTCCCTGCTCTGGTGGAGCATCAAGTGACAGTGGTAAATCTTTTGCCTCCAATTGCTTTATCTGGGTTAATGTCGCATAGGTCAACTTCAAAACATCCACCATGCCAATGATGTCATCGTCATTATTGACAACGGGCAAGTTCAAATAATGCCCTTCAAACATCTTTCTCAATGCTTGTTGAATTGGCAAATTGGTATGAGCGACATCAGGATGGGATGTCATTACTCGCACCACTGAACAATTCTTGGGGTCCAACCCAGCAGCAATAACTCTCAAAACAACATCTTTGGAAGTGAATATACCAGTGACTTCTTGATTTGTGTCCTTTACCAATACCGCGGTGGTCTTATTTTCCCTCATCAAAACAGTGGCTTCATAAACTGAAGTCTTGACGCTGACATAAATCGGCTCAGTAGTTTCATCAAGGACGTGTTCCAAAGTAGGCCCATTCATTTTGTTTTTGAGCGTCTCAAAATATTGGAAAACATGCTGAGGCTGATCTTGTACCCCAATTTCATTATGCACTGTATTCCACGCATCATACAAGGTCTTTGACTGTGCATGCATTCTTTCCAATTTCTCCATCTGTTGTGCATAACACTTTGTGATATCCAAAACACCGACAATTTGATTATCATTATCTAATACCGGCAAATGTCTAAACCCTTTTTCAACCATCAAGTTCAAAGCCTCAGATGCTGGATTATTGGCATTTGCACAAATAGGGTTAGCAGTCATGATTTGGTCAATGGTGACTGAATTTGCCGTTAATCCCGATCCAACAATGCGGAATGCCAAATCTTTTGCCGTGAATATACCCAAAAGTTCACCAACGTCATTAACGACCAACACGCAATTTTCACGAGTTGCAGTCATCATTTGGGAGACTTCGTGAACGGTGGCAGTGGTTTTGCAAATTATGGGGTCACTAGGTTTCAATGATAACACCGTACCGGGGATGGCCTTTTTATGTCTAGTGACTTTACTGCCATTCTTCTTTTTCTTACTCAAGTCGTGCTCGATCCTTCTTCTGATAGCTTCATCTCTTTTAGATTGCCTTTTTCTTAGGTCCAGTTGGTGGTAATTGGTGGAAGTGGTTGTCAATGAAGGCGAAGATTTTTGTGGTGATAGGGTATGCGACGGCGTAGTAAACATTTGATCCGGGGAAGGAGGGAGTGGTTGTAGGTTGAAATATATGGAGTCAGACTCAAGTCAGGATATAGCAGTTCTCTTGATACGTGGACAGTTGGTCTAATGACTGGTGGTAAACGGTTGCTCTTATCCTCGTGTGTGTGTTTGTGTGTATGTGTGTGATAGAACGAGTAGTATGGAACAGTGTGTAAGCAGTTTAATGTTATGTATGTGAGGAAGCAGAGACAGATCACTCCCAATGTGGAAAAATATAAACAGTTACACAAAAAGAAATACTAAACCAAAAACGGAAATACATGCGGCTTTCTCAACAGAGGGTTCACTATTTAGGAGCCCAAAAGAGCCTCGAAAGTGTGCACAGGAAGGGAGAGTCACAACTACCAGGTATGTGCAGTGTGGCTTTGCCACAGACTGCATTGCAATACACCGACGCATACTATATAGCAATTGGAAAAAAAAAAAAAATTGTATCAGGAAAGATTTTGCTTACACCGCTTGACACAAATAAGCTAAGCAAAATCCTTGCATTCCTCAGATTAGAACCAGATGTTATGACATACAGTGCTCTCATCAATGTTCGTATGGTATATCCCAAATTAAAGTTTGCAACTTTTGAAATTTTGTTGAACTGGGATGAAAATAAAAAAAAAATAAAAAAAAAGAAAATCAAAACCATATTAACTTCTTTAATAGACCATATTCCAATGACGTTATTTGAGCTCACAGATGTACTAAGAAAAACCATTCAGGAGTCCCTTATAGACCCGTTTGAGAAGAAGAAACTCCTTGACCTGAAGAACGTCAGCCATCACGAGTTAGTGAAATTTTACCAAGCGTGTCACCCTACACCAACCCTCCTATTATTGATCAGACAATCAAAAATGTGTCTACCCACATATGAAACATACAAACAACCCAAAACTAAGGAATTCTTGCAAATGATGGAAAAGTTGCGTTTAGAAGCACAAGAATCTGAATACAAGAAGTTGATTAATCCAGCACCCGAGCACACGACATTGTATGACACAAACAATGACGAATACGTATCTCCAGTACAAGCACACAAGGAATTGAAGAATCAGTTGACTACTATTGTTAATGTGTTTATTAGTGTTGGTAGTGTGTCATATGCTGTGTGGTATTGGACAGCACTGAGTTGGGGGTTGAGAGATAGTTATCGTGTGTTGTTGACGGTGTTTTTTGGGCTACTAGTGTTGGTGGCCGAAGTTGTTGTGTACATGGGATACTTGAATAAGATTGAAGAAGCAAGAGTGAAAGAGTATAGTAAACGGGAAGTGAAGAAAGTGATCAAGTCTTACAATTTAAGAAAAGACACGTGATACGTACAACACATTCAACACATACAAACGCATCACATACGTTCATCACTCCCTTAACGTGTTCAATTTTTTTGCAACACACAACAATTTTTTAAACACGCAAAAGCCCCCCCCCCCCCCAGAGTCAGCTCTTCTTTCAAATAACCAAGTGCCATTAATAACATCCCCCTCACCCACCTTTCACGCAAATGAGGGCCTATTCTCAATCTTTTTCAATCAACTCAATTGTTGCATTCGTGTTGAAATTCCCCTTGATTGGATACATTATTGGATTCTTTGAAGACTATGTGATTTCCATTGTCAGAACTGGTCCTGTTCCCAAACACGTTGCTATGATCATGGATGGTAATAGAACTTATGCCAAGAAACACAGGTTGCCCTTAAAGGAGGGCCATTTTGCTGGTGCAAACGCATTGGTCAAGGTATGTTTGGGTGTCTCTTTATGGAGTCTCAGTACTCCTTTCGCTGTTTGTTCAATCTGTTTACTAATCAATCTCCCTCTTACTTCCTTCAGGTTCTTGAATGTTGTTATAAAGTTGGGATTGAGCAGGTTACCATCTACGCCTTCTCCTTGGAAAACTTTAATCGAACCAAAGAAGAAGTTGATACATTGTTTGGGCTTCTTCGTGATAAATTGAAAATGATTTCTGACTACGAAGATTCTTACGCTAGGTACAACAAGGTTAGAATTAGAATTATTGGCAACAGAGGATTCATCCCACCAGATATTTTGAAAGATTTGGAGTACATTGAAGAAGTGACAATGAACAAGTCTTCGAAAAAGATTCTCAATGTTTGTTTCCCATACACGGCAAGAGATGAAATCACTCATGCCGTTAAATCGGTTGCGAAAAAGAGAATTGCAGGTGAGATTCACTCTCGCGATGAAATTGATGCCAAACTTGTTGAATCTAATTTTTATTTCGGTGACGATGTTCCGCCTTTGGATATCTTGATTCGCACTAGTGGTCATACCCGATTGAGCGATTTTCTCTTGTGGCAATGCAACACCAATTGTACTATTGAGTTCCCCGATGTGTTGTGGCCTGATTTTGGATTCATTAGCATCATGTCGATCTTGTTGAAATGGAGTTATTACAAAACTTTACAATTGGAACAAGACACGATCAGAGGCAAAGAGCCCCAAGTGCAAAATTCAGTTTCAACTGTATTGTTGAAAGAGTTGCCACAACCACCACCAGTTGCAACTGTGACTCAGAATTAATCAAGATTACAGAGAATAAAAAAAAAGAGAAAAGGAGCAACCTTGTTTAGCTATTTACATTTCTATTACGGCATATAAATTCTTGTCCTCCTATATTCATACCTTTTGTTCCAATTGTTGTGGTTGTTGTGATTGTTGTTTTTCCTGTTGTTGCTCCAACCTCTCAACCTCTCTCAACAACTTTGTAAACTCACGTTGCTTTTCATACTCATCTCTTGATTCATTAAGGTAGACATTCTTGGCAGTGAAATCACCAGCTTTCAACACAATTGCATTGGGGTTCCTTTCATTGCTCCATCTCTTGTTCACCACTTTCTCAATCTCATGGTATAACGACTGCAAATCGTGGCTGCTACTAATGACGTGATCATTGAGTTCGAATCCCAAATTCGATTGTAGTTGCTTGACAACCTCAAACCTCAACTTCAAATCATGCAATTCGATCTGCTCATAATTATTGGAATTGATAGATGTACCCGTAACCTCCTCATAGCTTTTATTCACAACGTCTTGCAACTTCAACTTATCATCATAATACACCAGCAAATCCAGCCCACGCAAAAACTTGACATTTTTCCAATCACGCACTTTACTCACCCCTTTCAAAGCGTTGCGCTGTTTCTGTTGCTTCTCCAAGTACTGCGGTGAGTTCTCCCTCGTCAAATGTGTGATTCGAGTAAGGTCCTTCTCGATATACTCGTCTTGATTCTCAATGATCTCGGACCGTTTTTGCTGACTGGTGATTTTGGAGCTCTTGGAGCCAAAAAGGTCGCCAAACCAGGATCGGATCAGTGTGGAGCTGGATAGTGATCGGAGTAGCGCCACGGAGTACGTGGAGGACGTGGAGGATGTGGAGGATGTGAGGCGTCTCGTGAGCATGTCGTTGGGTGATGGAGTTCAAAGTAGAGTGCACTCTTGATGAATACTGAAAAAAAAATTACAGTGAAAAAAAAAAAAAAAAAAAAAATTTGAAATCCTTTACGACACAAATGATATTGTCGCGACACTACACACAAGTTTTGCAGATATTTGTTCATTAACTCATTAATGTAGAGTGGTGGGGAAGTCACCTAAATAATCTTCTTCTTCTTCATGAATCCGACTAGGAAAAGCAAAAGAGTAAAGTATAATCCAACCCCAACTCCAACTTGTTGTGCCAAATTTCCAGACGCCACTTGTCGAACAGTTTCCTTATCGGAGTTGAACGCTCCAAATGCTTCAGAAGAGTCCAACACTTGCCTCTTGAACGGACCGTCGGTCGCTTCATTTCTGCTGTTATTGGAGGAGTCCGTACCAGAGTCTGATGATGCAGTTTGAGATGCTTTTGTGGTGTACACCTCAGTGGAATACACCTCGGTGGGGATTGTAGTCTGATTCGGTGTCGCTGATGCATCGTTCGCTCCTGACCCTGACCCTGACCCCGTTGGTGTGGATGAAGCGGACGTGACAGTCACTTCACCGATATCACACCACCCCTTCACTGGAATACAATTGAAATACTTGCACCATTTGCAATGTTCCGACGAATCGTAATTCTCATTAAAGAAATTCTTGCAAAGCAACACAAAGTACGCAATGATTAGCGCCAAAGCAACCACTCTAGCTCCACACCAAGCCAAAAATGGGATTTGCAACTTATCTTCATACGCATACATGGGATTCCAATTATTGATAAATTGTTGCCACGTAGTTGGCTCGCGTTGATATGTAATTATGCCATCTTTGAATACCCAAAATGGATCTCTAAGCAACAAGATTGCCGTTAGTATACCCATGGCAAACCCACCCAAGTGGCTGAAATTGTCTAAACCAGGAAGTAAACCCAACACTAAAGAAATGACAATTTCACAAATCATGAAAAAAATGAAAAGTTTGTAATGCTTGGTTCCATACATGTTTGTGTTTTTAGTCCCCGTATAAATGAACAAGATTATATTTGTAGCCACAATGCCAAAAAGAGCACCCGATGCGCCAGTTGAGGCTATTCCCTGGGGAGTGAAATTAGCACCAAGAAGAAATCCCGAGATGCCACTGGCTATATATATGATTGCATACTTCAAAATGCCAATATTTCGTTCAATTGAAGCCCCCATTGTCAATTGTAACAACAAGTTGAATATGATGTGAAGGAACCCAGCATGTAAGAAAATCGGGATGAATATTCTATACCATTGATTAGGAGCGTACTTGGTCCCATCATCAAAAGTTGGCAATCCCGATAATCCACATAAATCACTCAATGAACAGGTAAACGTATCTTCTGAAGTTGAGTTTGCGCAGGGGAACAAAATAGTGGTGTCATCCGTAACTCCTTTGATTTGGTGCATACATGGTACATAACGAGCTCCCATGTATATGAATAGATACGTTGATGGGCCCAACATTGGATTGAAATATGGTTTAGTTTGGAATCCAGACCCTGTGAGGATGGTCATTTTGGCGAGCTCAACAATAAAGACAATAATCTGTATTAGCGTGACAAGTATGGTGAAGTACGGTAGTCTGGTATAATGGAAGCGAGGTTTACTTTGAAGTGTACGAAGTCGATTTCTTTCATTATGCCTCATTTTCTTTTCCAAGTCATAATTGGCCCCCTTATCTCTATGACGATTAATATCGTGGTTACGAGGACCTAGTAAATCCTCATCAGTAACTTCAAATGGGTTGATGGCTGTTGCTGAGCGTTCTGGTAATTCGGAAGCGAGTTGATGATGGTTGGCATTTTCAATAAATGGATTTCTGTAGCTTCTTAAATAATCGTCCAGGCCTCCGTGATGGTCTAGCGTGGATGTGGGTTGTCTTGAGAAATCAGACATTTCATATTCATTGGCTTGAACAGAGTCCAGTTTCTCAAGCTTTGATGTCAGATTGGAGTCTAGTAGTGTCCGCAGCAGCGACTGATACGGATGGGATGTGGCACGTAGACTTGACCCTTGAAATGAGTTGTTGTGTTGTGGTATGGATGGTAAAGGAAGTGAATGCTGCAGCCCTTCGTCAATATGCAATAATGGAAGATGTGTCAGATTATTGCGATATGGGTGGGACGAAGCTATGGTTGAGTGAAGTGGGGGTGATTGCAACTGATCAAAACTATCGTCACTCAGCTCCTCCACGGGGTACTGAGGCTGTCGATTAGGAAAATAGATATCATGATGAGAGTTGGATCTGTTCATTGTGAGCCAACTCTAGAAGGTAACGTGAAAGAAGAAGAAGGAGGAGGGACTTGATGTACCTTCTTGTGAATGGCTGTGCAGTTGGTGCAACAAAAACCTCGAAGGAGTTTAAAAAAAAAAAAAATATAGAAAATATTAAAAAACATAAAAACAAAATGTATAAAAAAGTGATGTAATAGAAAGAGATTTGTAGATGTACTGGTTTGGTGAGTTATAGTGATAGATTGAAGGCTTTATTGTGCTTGATCAATCTCAACGGACGACAAGGGTAGTAGTATCACTGTTCCAGGGGTGGTGATAATAGAGAACAGTATGGAGCAGACAGACAGACACAAACACGCAACTTTTGTTATAGTCGTGTACATTGGGATTAAAAGTCAGACCAAAAATAGAAATTTAAAACAACAAAGGTAGTGTAATCTGATACAAATTTATTGCCCCCTCCTTTACATGTCTTTATCCTATACTCAGATACTTATCTCATGGAAAACATTTTGCCAAGTGTTGGAGCAAGTTTGGCTCCACTGCAGAAGGGGTCCCTGTAGGGATCTACTTCGTGTATGTCACCACTATTTCTTCAATTTGTATGGAAATATTGTCACGACTTCGCAACCAACTTTCCCTTTTTCTTTTTTTTGTACCCACGAGAACATGTATGACATCATTGACATTTGAGTTTCCATACAAGAAGCATTGCGACGCTTATCTTGTGAATGTAGTATGAGCCATGCCTGCCTTTTGTAATCAATTAAGAGCAAGTCTGTACCTCTAATTAAGCACTAAAGTTTGCTTGGTGGAAGTGCCACTGTGCAAATATCCCTTAGTAGTAAGTATTTCTTTTCTCCCACATAACCTAGAGACTAACTCTCAGGGGTTGGTAGTCAAAGTGATCAGCAGTAGAAATGCAATGCATTGCACCAAAATCTTATCTCATTCATGATTTCAAATTCTCTTGTAGTCAACCCAATCGATTTACAAAAGAAACGATACAGTATAGCGCAATAATGAAGCCAAATTTGTCTAGCTCAATTTCTATTAAAACTGGTTACAATAGTTATCCATCAGAGTCAACAGCATAATTATCATTTAGAATTGTACAAAGACTTGGCAAATGAAGGAGTTTGAAAAAAAAAAAAAAAAAGGGGACTTTATCTTCAACCAAGCCACAGTTACGCATTTTTTGCGTAATCATAAAATGCATTCAATAATTCGATGTTGCAACAACTCGCTTCGCTCATCCAATTAAATCACCACAACTCTAGCAATGCGGGACTAGGGGGTAGGAGCAAATTCCATGAACGAACTACAGTACAGAAGAGGTCCTGTCCATAGTCGCCAAACGTCAGCTTCTCTTCCTCACACAAGTCCAACTTCAACAGGTGCTTCTAAATGAGCACCACCGACAACGGCATTCAAATAGACGAGTAAACTTTAACCGTGCATTGCGTCACTAGAATTACATAACCCCAAACAATTGTGGCCCACGAAGGTGGGGCTATACCTACCATCTGCGCTGTGAGCTCATTGTGGCTCTCGGTGCTTCAAAGATAACCAATGACGATGTGTGTAAATGTAAAGGTAAAGTAGGGTAAGCTATGACATCTCGGGTTAGAAACCAGCACCAGCCGAATTGGAGCAAACAACACAACCTTAATTTCTTTTCCCTTTTTCTATTTTTATATTGTCTTTCATGCATCTATATGTCACAAATATGAGTGCGCGAGCGCCACACTTTTTTGCAACCGTTGAAGGAGAAACGCAATCCACACTTTACACAATATCAATAAGGAATTGTCTCATTTCCATTTTCATCTGCTTGTTCCTCCCCACCACAAAAGTTTTCTACCCCCCCCCCCCCCCCGAGCCGTACGCATAATCCACATTTGAATCTCGGTTGAGAAATGTGTAATGCGATAAGTTTGTCTCTCACTTTTCCGGAAATGGCGGAGCTACAAGGCTGGTGCTTGTGCATTTTGTGTGGATATTAATCTTTTAGTCTTACCACGGTATCGCTTAAGTACTACTTATTAATTGTATGTGTGTAAGGTGAAGAGAAACACATGCAAGAAAATTTACGAAGGTGCATACAAGGGGGGGTTAAACGGTTACAGAAGTTGCAGATGCATGAGTAACAATAGAACTTTGAAATCCTATATAAGTAATGTTATACATCTCTTGAAAGAAAACGCAATGCATCTCTTTGTATTATGCAAACGATCTGGTTTCATAACAAACTGTTCATATCTCAATTGACTTAACTACATATCGCTAGCGATAAATAGAGAAAACCAAATAATTAAACAAAAACTTCAAAAGCAGTTACTGCCATGGCTTCAGATTCAGTTCAATTACTAAACCAAGCTTCAGGATACGGAGTCTTAGTTGGGGTAGGAGGCGGCTTTGCCCTCGGTATGATTCTCGTCACGTTCCTCTTGCGGAAATACTTGCGTGAGGATAACACCAGCACCGAGACATTTTCAGTCGCAAACAGATCAGTGGGCACGTTGCTTTCGGCATCAGCCGTGTATTCAAGTTGGAGTTGGGCCACAGAGTTGCTTTGGTGTACGACAATGGTGTACAACTATGGTATTCAAAGCTCGTATTACTACATGTCGGGTCTCGCTGTGCAGATTGCCGTTATGGCCATGGTTGGTATTCATGCCAAAAAGAAGATCCCCAAGGCACATACTTCATTGGAGATTATTGAGTTGAGATATGGTAAAGCTGCCCATATCTTGTACATGTTTCTTTGTCTTACGAATAACTTGTTGTCGTGTTCAAGTATGATCTTGGGTGCCGCTGGTGCAATTTCAATCATTGCTGGTAACTTGCACATTGTGGCCGCTACAATCTTGACAATCTTCTCCGTCTTGTGCTATTCAATCTATGGTGGTTTGAAAGCGACATTCTTGACTGATTTCGTCCACACGTTGATCTTGTTGACTGTATTGTGTTACTTGAACACGGCAGTGTTGACAAATGTCGGCGGCTTGGATGCGTTGTATGATGCATTGGCAAGCTTTGGTGGGTCTAGGGAGATTCCAGGAAACTATGGAAATAGTGTCATCACAGGTAAATCACAAGGTGCAATTATTTTCGGATTGATCTTGACTGCAGGAAACTTTGGATTGTCAGTGATGGATAGTTCATTTTGGCAAAAGACATTTTCCGCATCTCCAAGAGCCACGGTACCTGCTTACTTGACCGCTTCTGCGTTGATTGCATCCAACGTGTGGCCATTGGGGGCTATTATTGGTGGTGCTGCAATTGTGTTGGAAAGTTCACCAAAATTTCCCACTTACCCACGTAAAATGACGCAATATGAAGTCGACTCCGGTTTCGCATTACCGTATGCATTAATGGCTACATTGGGTAAAGGTGCTGTGGGTGGGTTGTTATTGATTGTTTATCTTGCAGTTACATCCACCGTTTCAGCACAAATGGTATCGGTGTCATCGATCCTCACATTTGACATTTACAAGAAATACATCAACTCCCAAGCGCACAACAAGTCCTTGATTCTAGTGTCACATATCGGTTGTATCATATTCACATTTGGAGCCGCTGGTTTCTCCATTATGTTGCATTATGTCGGTGTCAACATGACCTGGTTTGGATATTTCTATCCATTGATTATATGTCCCGGTGTCATCCCTTTGATCTTGTCAATTACGTGGGACCGTCAAAACTGGTATGCTGCATTCATTTCGCCCATTTTGGGAATTGTGTTTGGGTTTATTGTGTGGACAACAACAGCTTACAAATTGGATGGTGCTGTTAATATCACGACTTTGGGTGGTCAGTTGCCGGCATTGTATGGTGCATTGACTGCGTTGTTCTTGCCTGGGATTGCAAGTGTGGTGATTTCATTGGTGTTTTCACTGAAGTTTGATTGGACAGTGTTGCAACAAGCTCATATTTTAGTTGATGAAGATGTGTCAAGTGAAGACACTACTAGTGTTGATAACGTTGATGGCGTGGAAGGTAAAGATGAGATTGTAAATTCTGACAAAGGTGATCGTTCCAGTGCATGTGACACAGAAGACAGAGGCAAGGAGGAAATTGAAGTCAATATCGACTCAGACCAGTCATCGTCATCCGCAAACAATCTAGAGTCGCAAAATGGCAATACCATTGCTGGAGTGGTTCAGTTGACGCCCAAACAGTTGGACTTTTGGATCAAGATTGCTACTGGTGCTGCTATTTTCATATTGTTGGTTACATGGGTGTTGTGGCCATTACCATTGTACCGTGATTGGATTTTTAGTAGGGCTTACTTTAAAGGGTATGTCACTGTTGGGTTGATATGGTTGTACTCTACGTTGTTGATTATTGGAATTGGTCCTTTGATTTCAGGAAGACATACCATTGCGTTGATCGCAAAGAACGTGTATCGTGATTATATAAAGAAGTGGTAGATATGTGAGATTCAAAGTGCAGTTAGTTTTCTCATCATAAGTAATATAAATCCAAAAAATTTTCAACCATTTGTAAATCAAATATAAAGGAATAGCTATAGTAACTAGTAGTACAGAACGGAAAACAAGAGAAAAAAACGGTAGCAACAAGGAAAACGCTTCTCTCCTTTCTCAATTGTTGATCAATTTGACGTAGTTTGATGGACAGATACCCACTTGTCCATTAACTCTTCTAGCCTGCCACCATTTACCATCTATATCGTCAACCTCCAATATCTCATCTTTAACAAAACTGATTTCGTTAATGTCATCAGGGTTCGCATCATAACTATACAATGCCTTGGCCTTGTATCTGAATGTGATTCCCGTACCGGTTCCCGTTCCTGTTCCTGTTCCTGAATTTGTATTTGTACCTGCGGTAGTTCCAGTTCCATTAGAAGAATCGTTGAAAACGGGCGATGGTTTAGATCCAAGTAAATCACGAGTTCCATTACTGGAATTGTAAGTGCCCACTTGATTTGGAGTCGTAGCAGCAGCAACACCCGAGCTCATAGTTTGACTATTGTTGCGCAATGTACTACCGGCTGGTTCAAAAGATAATCCTCTAGTCTCATGCAACATGTTGTGAGAAGAAGATGCAGGATTCGACGCACGCCTCGATGTAGTGGTCAAGGGCAATTGAGTACTAGAGCCAAATCTCTTGAATTCTTGTGTATGTCCAACATCATCCTCGTATGAGTCTTTAAGAGCTGGCGACCTGCCCAATTGCTCATGAGAATGACTTCTGTAGCTAAAGCTGTCGATAAATTGATTAGTGGGTGATTCCGGATGTCCGCCAAAGTACATAATCCAAATCAAGTTCAAGATACTCAGCAAGATGCATCCAGCAGCACAACATAAATTACCCGAAGAAGTTGAATTGTAGATCAAATTGTTTGTAGAGTTTGTGGTGTAAATGAATGCGATACTGACTAAACCCACCAACGTGAATTTGTAAAGTTCGATGTTATTGTTGAGGTAAAGCAACAATATGATGAAAATAATGACAATTTGATAAGCTATGCCCCACCATGAGAAATGAGGAAAATTTGACTGATCGGAGGCAGCTGCACCTCCAAGTGAAACTATCCAAGCAACAAAGCCAAATGAAATAGTGGACACGGCAAAGGGATCTCCCGTGAAGTTAGATATCCTGAATCCCATGACGAAGAAGTGGTATTATGGCGTTTTAGATTTTGGGTAGAGTGTTCACAATAGGTGTTGAAACAAGCGGTGGAAACGAATGCGGTGGAGAATAAAGGTGCGAGATCAATGTAGTTGTGATGGGGTGGAGTAAGTGGGGTTGTGGATGTGTATGGCTGTGTATGGCTGTGGTAGTCGTTGTTGTGGTTGTGGTTGTGATTATGGGCTGTAGCTGTGGGTTGTAGATCTACAGATCTGATGTTTTCTCTTCTGTCTATTGAGGTTTCGTTTCACTGAGGACAAAATTAAAATTAAAATTAAAATTAAAAAAAAAAAAAAAAAATAATATTAAAATTCCCTTTCCTTTTTCTCTTTATTTTTTTTTGTATTTGTTTTTACGTGTCTTGCATTCTCTTTCTTTCTTATTGTTTACTTTTAATGACAGAAAAGAAAAAGTTTAATTAATAAAAGTCGTGTAGACTATTACAAAAATCAATTGTGTGTATATACACGACTTTACTCTTACAAGCCTTTTCCATGTTAATTGGATCACACAGTTACTGTATCTACTATTACCCACTTCAGACTTTCTCCTGGGGGGACTGAAAACATGAACTCACGACAAGTGACTTAATGGTAGTCAGTTTCACCTGTGAACATCCTGCTTTTAAACAAACGGTTCGCTTTTGAAAGACCATGTTGAGTGTAAATTTAGTAGAGCATGTAACCACAGGCAAGGCACACCCTAGGTGATGCTTGATAGAGGTGAAGATGTGACCCATTTGCTCCCCTTGACGTATTCCGTGGTAAGTGATGTACAAATGTCTGTACACACTCAATTCGTGTTGGGTTCAATCTCATACACCGCCACAAGCTCCCTTCACCACTAAGCTCCCCTCCCCTTCTCTTGAATGCTCAAAGGTTACGTTTTAAGACCAAAATCAAAGCTTTCAACACGCTCCAATGGTGCTACAATGACCTGTCCAACATCACGCTTTCCTTTCTTCTTCCTTCTATTGGTACTGCATGCTCAGAAAAAAAATAAAAACAAAAAAAAACTTTAAACTCCGTTATAGTAACCACTTAAACAACACCACAGACAACATGGCCTCCGAACACAAGTCACTACTAACAGTGGTTGAAGACTTGACCCGTGTCAGGTCAGACATTTCCCAACTACAGGCGACTTTCAACCAAATTTTACTAATCACTCCCACATGGGAAAGATACAATGATCTCGTAAACTTGGCCAAATCAACTGGTCAAAATTCAGGAGAACCACTACTCACCATTGAAAAACTCAAGAACTTGGTTTTCACTCCGCAGACGAAAGTAGCTGTACGATTGAAGCAATTGTATGAACTGAATAAGCTACCTGTCTTGACTACATTGGCACGGATCAATTTCAAAGCTAGTGCACAAGAAGAAGCGCAACAAAAGCTAGATATCCAGAAATTCCTAAATCTTAACCCAAATCCCAAACAAAGACAAAGACTAACTGCTGCTGCTTCTGCTGCTTCTGCTGCAGCTACTGCTAATGGGAATGACTGGAAGGCTACCGAATACTACTCATACCCACCAACATTACCGTTTATCGACCAGCTGTTACTTCTTCGAATAACTACTGACAAATCTTACCGGAAACTAGTTGACTTTGTCCCCCCATCCTCGCCGAAATTCACAAACACACATAATGCCAAATTGGTCGCCCAGGGGAAATCAATTTTGAAATGCTTATTGTTTGAAATCTTGGATGAAAAATTCCCCAATTTGTATGAACAAGATCTACAACTTATACTCAATCGCTTGACGTCACTGGAACTACTAGCTAAATTTGCCTTTGTTTACGATTTGGTTGATCCAGTGAAGTACAATTTATCAGACTCTTCTCTGTTCCAAGATGAACAAGGTCTTGAAATATGTGGTGGTATCTTTGCCGCTTATGTTGCTGGACTACAGGCGCCTGGGCTACAAGTTGCGCGGTATGAGTTGGATGAGATCAAAATTTGGTTAAAGAGATTGTATAAACCGTTGGTGGCGGATTTATTTGCCACTTCTAATCCAGTTGCTAAAGTTGCCATGGTTGAATTCCAGTCATTAGTAAAGCTGATTACGTCGTTGGATAAGGTTCCATACAGGAATATCCAATTTGAAGCTGTGGCGGTAAATACCGATCCATTTGTAACGCAAATCATTGTCGAGGGGGAAATTTTGGGGACTGGGACTTCGTCAAAGAGTTTTGAAGAAGCTAGAGATCGTGCCGCGATTGACATTATGGAAAACAAGGATATGATTGTCCTTTTATTCACAATTATCAAGAACAATTATCTCGAGAACAAACTGGACTTTGTTCGCGAAACGATGTCGCCTCAGGTAATTGAATCTGATATTGAGCTGTTTCCTGCTGCTGCTGTTCAACCCATGCTGGTGCCACGTGGTTTTGGACAATCACTAATGTTAAACCCCAGCACACATTCTCCGCGTATGATACAACCCTTGCCGGGTCAAGTACCAAGGGACGATCCATATCCTGATGCATCACAGCAAATGACGAGGTATGGACATAGTCAGTCACCACCTCCACAGCAACAACCGCAGCAACAACCGCAGCAACAAGGTTATATGCACCAATCGGGATTACAAACACCGTACGCTGCCCAATCTCCGCCTCCTCCCCAAGTCTATCTGCAGTCACTTGTGCCAGCAGACAACATAACCACACAGTTTGATTATGGATTCGCAGAACCAGTGCCACATATCCCCTTATCTTATGAGGATATTGACAAGCAGGCGAAAGCCACCCTACATTCGATGCTTAAAGCTAGACATTATGACAAGTATGAGCATGTTCAACAAGCTACAAAATATAATACCATTGAATATTACGCCACGTGTAGTATCGATGGGCGCGTCATCGGTTCTGGTGTTGATATAACAAAGAAGAATGCGTTGCAAAAGGCGGCAATGGCTGCATTGAGGAATACACCCGCTTTGAGGCAACTTGGTGTTATTGATTGATTGTGGTCTGAGCCGAGCTTGAAGTGACTAGAGTGTGTAAAGATGTATTTATTTAGGCGACCAGTAGAGAATATATTGGCTTCTGTTGTGTCTTTAAAAGAGATTAGAGGCTTTACAAGACTTATAAATGATATTTACCTCCTTCAGATAAGCTTATGGACAAAGTAAGGCATTAAAGTCTCTCCCTACAGGCCTTGATTTTCCTTTATCTTTGTTTTTTCGACGTGGGGTAAAGGGTTTTTTTTCTAAAATTTTTTTTTTTTTGCAACCGAGTAACCAAGCGAGAAGGACCCACCAGCCACCCCACACGCACGCATTTGACAATGACTCAAAAAAAAAATTGAGGCAAAGAAGAGAAAGCAAACAGCAAGGGAAACAAAGTTTCGTTTCTGTCAAATAGAACAATAAAATGTAAGATAATCCCATCTAACACATTTAAACCGCTTTTATTCTAGACTCATACATAGCTTTCTTTTAATACGGGTGAGCTAAAGATAACAAAAAACAAAGCAAATGAGCAAAAATGGCACCCGTCAACTCTCTCTATCTCTATGACTCCAGACCTTTAATTCTACGGGCTGTTCTACTTATTTGCCAGTTTGACCGCAATCGAAGCTACTTCTGCATAAGTCAATTGTCTTTTGTTTATAGATATGAAGTCTTCGTCGTCGACATCGATATCCGCGTCTTCCATGGTATTACCATTGCCATTGCTGGTGTTTTGGCTTTTGTTTTTGCCCTCCTCTGGTTTAAGCTTCACGCTCTTCATGTTAATACGTATGATTTTCTCCTCTGGTGTGCTTATGATGAATGATTTTGGAATGGGTGTGGAGTCTTGCTCGTTTTGTTGTTGTGGGTTTGGCGATCCATTTGTTGTGGCGGCTGTTGTGGCAGTTCTGGTGAGGATAGAAGATAAGTAGTTGGCGATTGAAGTGGATGAGTACATTGTGTTGATATATAGCAAGTGTTGGTAAAAGTATGGTGTTTTAGCAATTTCTTTGAGTAAAAGAAAGAAAGGAAAGTGGATAGGTATGTGTATATGTTATATATATAAGGGGATTTGTTGTGTTTATAACCTCGTGGTGTTTCTGATAACCACAATCAGCAAAAATGAGAGATATAAACAATTACATAATGCATTATGTAATACACATACACCTTTTTACTCTTTCTTTCTCTCTTTATCTCTCTTTCGCATATTTTGTGCGTGTTTTTTCCTTAAATTATCACTCGTAGTTTTATAGAGCGTGCACGTGCAAGCAATCACGACTAAAATATGAATGACATCATTAACAAAGGCTTGGGGTAAGCAGTAATGCCAAACGAGTGTGACCGTTTTCGCTCAAGCCGAAGAGGAGTGACATACTTCGAGAGAACACAAATAACAAGTCACTACATATCTGGGGACGTAGGCACTGTACTTTAGTTGTAACGCAATCATTTAGGACTGCAGTATAGTTTTACATTTAATGTTCTGTCCCCCCGTAGGTTACCGTTGGTATTTGTCTGGACCCTTTTTTCTCTAGTATACATTTCTTAGATAAACTTTCTTGTGTTGCTTAGCATGGAATAATTTTTATGTGAATTCTGGTGGATGTTTCACCAAGTTCCTGTGCAAAATTTCAATTTTCATGAACTTGTAGCCGTACAATGTATCGCCTCGCTTCTTGAAGAGTCTTTTTGAGAGTGCTTTGATTATAACATTCCCAAGTGAAGTTTACAGAATAACTAAAAACTATGACGTTTCAAAGATTGGATATAGTGCTCGGACCTTTCAAATTATAGTACTTATCTCGTAGCTACTGCCATTGATGTGGAAAGAGAATCAATAAATTTACAAGCATCACTTCTATAATCAACATTTACAACGTATATCTCAGATAAAAACATGGAATAAAATGAGCACGTTTAGCAAAACGATCGACAATTACCTCAATGCAGATAACCCTTCTTCTTCAAAATCCACAACCTGGACAGATCTAGACCGATTTAACAAACTATTTCGCAAAATAAATAAGCCAATAGACCCAATATTTGCAGCCGGCGTGAAAATTAGGCAAGTATCGTAAACGGATTAATTTTCAATTTGATCTTCATTCCCAATCAAACTCACGACAGAATCCACCAAGTAATATCATCAACATTATATTTGATGATTTTTCAAGATTTTCAAGCTGATTTATTCTATGACATACACCGACGCAGAATAAATCAGCTGAGTTTGATATGTGAAGTGTGGCACATTGTGGTTTCAAATGTGTTTTCATCAACACAAACACGACTCATCATCACCCTTATAGCCAACTACAAACGCCACCTTCCACTTTTGGTGGATGGACTAGCATTTGAATTGATATTGTTAATGGTTTGGATGCTTGATGCTCGGGGCAGTTTTAGGAATGCGTCAAACAAATTGGGAGAGTGATTGCAGATGCAAAGTTGAGGTACAATCTCTGCGTTGACGAAAAGAAGAAGAAGACAGGAAAAAAAAAGAAACAAACGATAGAAAGTTGTGGTCGTGCGCATAGAACAGAACCGAAATCGATGTCACCGTCTTTACGACATATAATTTCACGACACTGCTCCCATTTGAAAACAACCAACAAAAACAAACCCATCCTTTGTCTTTTGAACAACAACCCTCAATCACCAGTCAACTCAATTCCAAAAAAGGCACCTCACACTCACATTTCACAAAATATAATAAGTGATGGACGGGTGGGGCGAGGTAGCGAATATACCCATAGTAAACACTCCCAACAATGCGTTTATCGAAGATGATTCACAGCCCACAATCACTAGCACAAAGTTTGACTCTGTTCAGAATTTGATTTGGTGTGGTGATTCGAAAGGATTTGTACAATCAGTTATTCTTGGTCAACCCACGTCACCGTATCATACTCCCTTGTACCCATATACCAAGTTTCAAGCAAGCACCATCAATCAACCAATTCTACAAATATTATCACACAAGGGTGGCATCTTGTCATTGCTGCGAGATCAACTTTTGTTTAATAACCGACGAGGACTTCCAAAAGCTGGCTTTGATGGGTCCTCTTTCAGTGGTAGTGACGATTTCACGAACTTAAACTCAATGATATTCAATGGAAACTCATCAAGTGAACTAGCCGTGGGTACCGATTCAGGCTTGCTAAAATTTGATTTGAATAAACCGACGGTGCTAGACAAGTTAAACTATGAGGGGAAAGTCAGTCTTTTGAACAGCACTCCCAAGTACCTTACTATTGCAGGGGGTAATGGATCACTTAATCTATTTGATACATCATCCAATTCAACATTGAAAGCATTTGCTGCACATAATGGAATCATCACTGGGTTGGACATAAAGGGAAATTACATTGCCACATGTGGCTCATCAGTAAGACCAAGAAGAAATTTTTACAACCAGTCAGCATCGGATTACATCGTCGATCCCTTGGTAAATATCTACGACATTCGAACAATGCGTGCAGTTGCGCCTGTGGCATTCCCTGCTGGTGCTTCTTCGGTCAGATTCCATCCTAAGTTACCAAACATTGTTATTGTTGCATCTGTCCATGGTCAAGTACACTTTATTGACCTTTTCGATCAAACTAATGTACACATGTACCAAGCAGACGTTGAATCAACAATTCCTCCACAAATTGCCACTGTCAAAGCAGCTAAGTTGTGCGATTTGAACATCAGTGATTCAGGAGATTTTCTTATGTTTAATGATGGCATTTCAAACTTGCATTTGTGGACAATGACAAATTTAGGAACAATGAATAAAGATTTTGTGAATTTCCCTCAAAGTATCGAACGTCCGGATGTGATTAATGACAATGATGGACTTATTGGCATTGATGAGGTTGTTCCATTATCCACGGTGGGAATGCCTTACTACAAAGAGCTGCTTTTGTCGAATTGGCCAATTGATATGAAGTTTGTTAAAGAAACAGCAAGGTTACCAGACCGCATTGACGAGGAATTGCTTGCCAGGGCTGAAAAATCACCAAGACAATTTCTTGAGTATGACACACTAAGGTATGGACCAGCAAATGTTGTACAACCATATTACTCATTAAGCAATGTCAAAGATACACAAATACCCAAATTTCTTAGTGAACAGAGTAATGGGGGTGACTCCAGCAAGTTGTCACCACTTGATGACGCATTTTTCAAATCTGAATCTGACCTGAAGATCCCTAAATGTTATTCGCGATTGCAAATTCAGTATTCAAAATTTGGTGTAAAAGATTTTGATTTTGGCTATTATAATCGAACTGAAAGCTATTGTGGGTTGGAGAATCATAGTGATAATTCGTACATCAATTCGTTATTGCAGGTTTACCGCTTCCAGTCTCTATTCTACAACCAGGTGGTCAACACATTGAACAATGAATGGCTTCCCAATGACGCCAAGACAATAATCGATGAAGATAACCCTCAAGGATCATCGATTTTGAACGAGTTGGGTTACCTATTCGATATGATGCACAAGGCGAAATCTCGCAATGTCAAGACACTAAATTTCAGCTCAGTGATGAACCATGACAAACAGGCCAAGGGATTAGTCAATTTGAACGAGCTAATGAATTTGAATGCTCACGAAGTTCGGGAGTTGATTATTGCATTCAATAATTATTTATTGACTCGATTGGACCATGACTTCAGACGCCAATACTCATCTGATTTTAGCATTACTGAATTGAATTACCAGATTGAAATTAAAGGCTCGGGCCCTTCATGTCCCATCTTTGACAAACAGGCAGGGTCATTGTTCTCCTTGGAACTTATAACCCCACCTAGCAACATGTTGAACAAGATGAGCATTCTCATTAACCCTCAAGCGAACAATTCACAACATCAACAAGATATCAACTTATCCAATATCCGTAAAAACATCAATATTTTGACATACTTGGACTATTCAATGAACCAATTCAAGACTATACCCTGCGAACAACATCAACATGCATACCCGCATTCACTAGAGATTAGAACAGGTATTACCAAGCTCCCACCCGTTCTTGTTCTTAATGTCAACTTGACAAATGAAGAATTCAAAATCATAAATAATCTAAAGCAATGGTTGGTACCGGAATTTTATGCCGTCAAACCCAGCAATACTCCCGGTTTTACTTTTAAACCCACAATGCCAGTCTCCAGCGCCTACACGAAATACGAACTATTGGGGTATGTTTGTGAAATCAGCCATCAAAGTGATTTATCAAGGACGGGTGCTCATAATCTAGTTTCGTTTGTCAAAGTCAATAACGAATGGATATTTTTTAACGACTATTTGGTGACACCAGTCCCAGAAGACGAGGTGTTTAATCTAAATGCACCTTGGAAAAAACCCGTCATTGTCATTTATCAAGAATCAACAATGCCCGAATTTGATTACTTGAACCATTTCAGTGGGAACGATTCCATATTATATCGTGATCATTTTGCTGGTGCAATTAGAGAATCATACAAATACGAATACCATTTGCTTACTCGTGATGAAGCTCCAGAGGTTGGAACTATGGTTGCCATCGATGCAGAATTTGTCACGATGAAACCGGAACAAGTGGAGATCAGTTTGACTGGAGCAAAGAAATTGATCAAGCCACGAGAATTGTCATTGGCAAGAGTCTCGGTGCTACGTGGTGAAAATGGCAATCCGCTTTACTGTGAGGCTTTCATTGATGACTATATTGTCCATACTGAGCCCATATATGACTACACCACCAATTTCAGTGGAATTGAACAAGACGATTTGGATTTCTACAAGTCATCGAAAAACCTAGTCACTTTGCAAACGTCGTATCGCAAACTATGGCTCCTTTTGAATTTGGGAGTCATATTTATTGGTCATGGACTTTATACCGATTTCCGAACGATAAACTTACAAGTACCTCAACGACAAATACGCGATACCGCCGATTTGTATTATAAGCCCGATATGAAGCGCCAATTGAGTCTTAAGTTCTTGGCATATGTGATGTTGAAGCAGGATGTGCAAACTGGCAACCATGATTCAATCGAAGATGCAAGGACGGCATTGTTGTTGTATAAGCGATACGTTGAGTTGCTGCTGAGGGGCGAATTTGAATCAATGTTGAATCATGTGTATGCACAAGGCAATAAGTTGAGATTTAGAGTACCTGATAAAGTAAACAATTAGATTACAAGATGTTGTAGAAAGGGGATATCTACCCCTCTAGCCAACAATCCGTTACATAAACTCTTCCAATTAAATTTAAATAAACCTTTTTTTTTTATTTGAAATAATAACCTTTAAATATACAAAAAATACAATCGAGTAGCACACTCAATCTCTATGAACAAATATACAAAAATAAGCAGCCAAAAACAAGACCAAATAAATGATGAAGCAATCGTTAAACCGAAATCCATTCAGATAACAATAAGGCAATCTCTAAAAGACAAATGAAGAAAAACAATGCACATTTCTTTCTTTTCCATCTCTCTCTCTCTCTCTCTCTTTCCTTATACCAAAGCAGCTGCCAAACCAGCGACAGCAGCGAAACCAACAGCAACTCTTTGAGCACCAGCTTCATAAGATGAGACAGCAGCGGCGGAAGACGAGTTGTTACCAGCAGAAGCAGATGAGGTGAACAAGGTTGATTGGGCAGTCTCGGTGGCCTCGACATTTTCAGTGGCGGAAACGGTTGGGGTTTCGGTAACGTCAACGTATTGGTCTGATTCTGAAGATGCAGGGGTGGAGGCTTCAGCAGCAAGGGTACCTGGGTTGGAAGCGGCAGGAGCAGAACCAGCAGCTGGGGCAGATGAAGCAGCAGCAGGAGCAGATGGAGCAGCAGCAGGAGCAGATGAACCGGCAGCTGGGGCAGATGGAGCAGCAGCAGGAGCAGATGGAGCAGCAGCAGGAGCAGATGAACCGGCAGCTGGGGCAGATGGAGCAGCAGCAGGAGCAGATGGAGCAGCAGCAGGAGCAGATGAACCGGCAGCTGGGGCAGATGGAGCAGCAGCTGGGGCAGATGGAGCAGCAGCAGGAGCAGATGAAGCAGCAGCTTCTTCACTTGACAAAGGGCAGTAAGTAGTGTATATAGTTTCGACACCTTCAACAGTAGTAGTAGCAACTGATGGGATTACTGAGTTTGTAGTAGAGACACAGGCCTCGTGTGAGCATGAGGTGATGGTGGCTTCGGTGGTTTGGTGGTCGGTAACAGTTTGCAATGCAGTAGATGAGCTTACACCGTATGATGAAGCAACCAAGGTTGAAGCGATGATTAATAAAGTTGAGTATTGCATTTTATAGTAGTAGTAATAGTATAAGGTAAACGAATGTAGACGTTAGTTGGAATGTTGGCCAAATGTAATATAGCTCTTGAAACTTGATAAAAGGATGAGGAAAAAGAAAAGTAAGATAAAGTTCCATTTATTCCAGAAGATCATGGGTATTTATAATAATCTAGTGGACCACGACGCTGCGTTTATGAGTGGCCTTGTCACATACCGTGGAACTCATACATTTTTGAAAGTCAAAGGGGGACTGTTTGTAAAGTGTCCCTGAAACCCGTTCCTAACAACAACAAAAATAAAAAAAAAATAAATAAATAAACAAATGAAAATAACACAGTGGAAGAAAAAACACAAAAAATAATATGGCTCCTGAAGTGGCGTCAAAGTTGGACGATACCGTCGTCTAAAAGATCACGAGCAGCGACCACTACTTGGCTCTAATAATAGTATTGTCCTCTCATAAGCCTTGCAAAGGGAAATGAATAATAAGAGAAAACAAAAAAATAAAAAAAAAAAAACAATATGGCCATAGGCATTCGCGGTTTGATGAGAACTGGTGTCCTAATTTGGTAAAATTATGGTATACCTGCTTTCAATGAAACGTGTTCAGGTACTGGAGTTGGGACAGTTATGACAGACACAAAGCACCTTATTATGATTCTGAATCTGGCGTTAAATTGTGTGATTTCTAAGACGCCAAAAAAAAAACTGCTTATAAAGAATCGTGTGCGGCTTAATAAAGGGCAGGCGACAAATAAAAAAAAAAAAGGTAAACAAACAACAAACAAACAACAAACAAACAACGCGTTTTGTTGATTGACGCGTTTGACATTAATTGTTCTATTGATTTATTATTCCGCTACATAAGATGTTTATTTGAGTGAAAGGGGGATAGAGAGATCATTAGGGTTCTAGAAGCGCATTTTCGTACACACGGTTCCATCAAGGGCCCTACACGCGTGGAAAATGAAATTGGGGCAATGCTCTGTCACTATTGTTCTAAACATGATCGTCAAAGCCATATTGAAATATACGCTTTTCCAACTCTGCTTGTGTGCCCGCTCCGTGGTAGCAGACCCAGTGTGAATGAATCTAAGCGAACTGCCCTATTGTCTAAGACTTTAGGGTCAGAGTGATTCGTGTTGGTAAACACTACTGACGTCGTTTTGATTTCACCACTTCGAAGATTCGTGTATGACGATTCAGTGATCTACTGCGCCGACTACCCTTCGATAAAACAAGACATCCAAATACTGTATTTTCTATACGACTAATTCAACATCAAGTTCATTTCCCAATCCTGCACCACACTAACCCAATCGTCTCTCGGCTCCTTTAAACTCTTTCTTCGCCAGACTTCCAACATAATTTGTCTAGCGCCCCAATACGATCCCAAGTACTGGGCAATGTCGGCACCCCATTTTTTGAATCCCATCTGCAATTCCGTCGAAAGTGCTTCGCAACCAGCAATAAACCCTTGCCAGAACAATGGTATAATCGCCGCCTCGTCTTTGGCAATGAGATCCTGAATCGAATTCAAATGATTGAGGGTTTTCACAACCCTCGTTTGTAGCCTTGTTGGAGACACGTCCTTTATGAAGCGGCTAAAGTAGATGACAAGGGCGTGATAAAACGACATAATATGGTGGTATGTGACTTCGTGCATCGGAGAGTAAAACTCTTTCTTCCTCCCGTCTTCGTCGTCCTCATCATAACCAGAGTTGGTGGCACTTGGCGTGACATCAGTCTGTCCTTTTTCATTTTGTTCAGGGTTCATCTCTTGTCCCTTGTAAAGTTCCCAATCCAATACCCAAACTTTCAACTTGTCATTCAACACCAGCACTCTGTCCTCGAAATCACTAGGTAGTTGTTTTTTCGAAGTGGTGTAGTAGATTCGTATCCTCAACAACTCAACAGTCTCACTGAATAGCAATATCAACGAATTGGGCAACCCATATAAGGCATCGGTGGCGAAGTTCTCATCATTCTTTTTGGTGTTGATCAACTTTTTATTAACGAATTGGGGTGATGCAGTTGTATTGGCGGTAAATGAGGACATATCACCAATCTTGTTACTGGAAAAGGAATTGTTCACGATGAAATCTATCCGGCCCTTATCACTATCTTTCGACTTTTCTCGATCATTGCCAAACTTATCTCCATTAACGTCATATCCACCAATTCCCGTAGAAGATTCATAGTTTTCCTTGATACTTTCAAAATTTAAACAAGTCGAGTCTTGTATCAACTTTAAAGACGAAAAAATACGATGTAATATCCGTGCCTTGGGAGATAGTTTCTTTTTCTTTGCCATTTTGGCAACAATAACCTTCCCACACCACGCAATGTATAATCCAGTATCTTGCATAGTACCCCAAACTAAATCAACACTAATCATAGTCATTACAGCACAAAGCACATCCTTATACTTTTCTTGCGTCACACAATGCTCAATACCCGATTGCACATCATTTTTCAGATTCAACAACTTCTTCACAAACAAACTTGCCTGGTTACGTAATGCAATACCCAAGTTCAAATAAAATCGCATAGGTTGCGAGTTTTTTGGGAATTTGGATTGCAAGTTGAATGCCGAGACCGCAAGTAATGCATTCAACAATGCGTTTTTAGCCATTGAGGTTTTACCCAAGGCCAGAAGTTCTCCAATTGCCATTAATGCACGTGGAAAATAAATCGCCTTCCATGGATTTTCAGTGAGAGGTATGACTGTCATTAAATCGGCAACATCGGTGACATAATAGTTGAGCAAGTATCGTGTCAATGGCTGAACCTGTAAGGCAGTTAATGGAATACCCACGTGCGATTGACGTGTCGGTAAAGTCAAGTCGAAATTGACATTGAGTGGGCTCTGCACTATTTTCATAATCGATGCTAACAATTTGCTATCATTGGAATGATCTCCGTCAACGTACTCAGTGTCGTCTGCACTAGTAGTTTGCGCATGTAACTGTATCTCCAAATTTTCATTCATTTGATAGGGATTGTTGTAAAAATAATTTGAGAAATTGGAATAGTAGATGGGATCCATGAGGTTTTCCTGTTGATTTAGGAGATTCGACATTGACATGTTTGAGTTGGAGTTGGAGGTTTGGGGCTGCACTGTGTTGAAATTTTGACCTTTGTTATGAAACACCAAGTTGAACAAATCAGGATTGTTCAAATTGTAATTTAGATCGTTTGCTGTGTTGCTCCTCTGATTACTTGACTGAGGCAATACGTTTCCATTGTTGTCAAAGTTGTTCATAATGTCTAAAAAATGAGTATTCAAAGCTGCTGCAGTCACCAAAGCTGCATCCTTCAATTCGTTGGATAACCAGAATTGATCTTGTGATGGGGCATCGTTAGGTATCACATCAATTTCGTTGTTACTTTTGAGACCAGACTTGTCACTGACCGGCAAGCCATTTTCTTTCTCCTGTACAATCTTTCTCCATTTCAGTTTCTGCAAGACATCTAGTCCTTCGTTATTGCGCTTGTCAATTATGCCCTGAAACACACCAAAAGGTCCTTTCATCTTGGTATCGCCATGCGATTTCAATTTGGCAGCTACTCTATTATTCTGAAGAAAAGCGAGGTCGTAATTCATCTGATCGTATGTTGTGTACGGCTCGTCCCATTTCACAAACTCAACAAATCGCCGATGGTAAAACTCAAGTGTATCGGTATTTGCATCAGTATCGCTCACATCGAGACTGTCTCCATCTTCCAAGGTGGGGAACTTCACCAGGGTACCTTTCACGTCACCATTACTTAACGGCACAAACTGAATTGGTTGGGACCATCGGAGCTTGACGTCGTAGCCGGCACATGTGAGCTTTGCCTTGATACATTTATCACATTGAGGCCGCTTTAGGTCACACTTGATTTTTCTTATTCGGCATGTGAAACATCCTGTAAACGTTTTCGATCGCTTGAGCCCATTTGGTTTAGTGGACAGGGGTGAAGAAGGGGAGGACATTTGACATGTGTATACTGGTTTATGTATTTATTTTTTTTGCACTGTTCTCCGTTCCGTCTCTATGGGTTACTCCAAAAAGGACCGATGAGGGAAGATGACGTGAAAAGCGTGATGATGTTTTTGTTCTTTTTTTCGGTTGCATCGCTAAGACCTCCCGTTTTAAACAAAATCGGAATTTGCATTGCCTGACGCTACCATTGAAGATCAATATGCTATAACATCCACTTTTCCAACTTCTGTACCATCAATATCCTCTCCTTTCTCCCTCGAGTCCCATGCTTTCCTTATGCGCTGCAAAGTGAACTTGGCACTATTTGAGCCTGTTTGCGAGCACATTTCAAAAAAGTTTTCAATCACGGAGAATTGAGGCGAATCAGTACATGTGAACCCAGCAACTGATAGCGGCCACTGTATCATCAGAAACGCATAGGGGAACCTTGTACTGTCTTGTAACTTGCAATCTTGAAATATTTTCACTAAATCGACAATTTTACTGACTAGTCCCTTTATATGCTGTGAATCAAGAGGATTGCCTAGTAGTCGCGTGAAAATGGTTATCAACCCAGCTAGTGTGAATGCTTGTTGAGATATATCCATCCAAGACACAATTTCGATTGTACCGTCGGGTTTTTGTACCTCTTCGCACAAAGCCCCCAGAAAGATCTGTCCAGTAGTGGGTGTTTCTTCCACGCTAGTAAACCTCACTTCGTACTGAGAATAGAACTCACAGATCAAATGCATATACTCAAGTGGATCTATCACATCATTGGGAAAATCTCTTTTCCACCTTAATAAATCACAAACTTTTCTAAAATACCCAAGACACTCAATGTGGTAGCCAGTGACCACACAGAAGCCATTTTCCTGAATCAAACCAAAATCTTTCAACACCAGCTGCTCATAAGGATCGAAATTAAACACTAGATCCATCTGCTCCTTGGTTCGAAGTGTCCCACCCATTTCAGAACTAAGGCCTGCCAAAATTTCAAAGTCTGCGAACCACATTTTGCACACAATCAATGTTGAAGACAGTCGAATTTTGCTGCTGGTGGCCTTCATGATGATTTCCCTCGCTCCTTGCAAATGCGGACGCCAGCTTTGCTTCTCATTGCACGCATTGGACATTGCAAGTGATAGTACCGTGAGAAGTATATTTTCAATGTTCGAGGTCACATCCCATTCCACCCCACTTTTTTGAGCTTGATTTAACGCTGGAAGTAGTAATTGAAGACAATTGTTTAGATACTTTCCGCAATTCTCCAAATCGTGCTGACGTAGTATTTCGTCCTTTTGCAATTCTGACGACGAGTACGCGCCTTGTGACATAACTGCAGCAAGCAAGAAAGGCTCCTTGACGGCATGCTTCATGACAACTTCTCTGATGGCGTTTCTGTATACGCTGGGGTTCTTGTTATCCACTCCAAAAGGCAATTTCTGGAAAGTGAATCGTTCACAAAATTGTCTCACATACTCCCTCTCCTCATTCGATTTGTCAATCAAGAACTCATCTGATATACAGCTAGGTACATTGGTTGCATTTTGGTTCACTTCTGCATCGATATTGGTGCGCGCCACATCTTGGTCATTAGTGGGTACGATATTTGAGTTAAAAATTATGCCATTCACAAGGTTACTTAGATCCAAAGCAAGTAGATTGAGATCATCTCCGTTGTAAAGCTCGCTGGGGCAGAGGAAAGAAGGACTGGGGTTGTCAGTAGATGTCAGCTGGGCAGCACCTTGGTGTGCTCTTCTGGTAAAGTTCAAGCCCTTTTGACTGTGCATTTTGTCTTCTGTTTGATGAAATTTCTCAACATTCTCAAAGGAATCTGTCTCCCCATCTTGAACTTTTTCAACGGATTTTTCGTTGTTCGTTTCTTGTTGTACAACGCTTCGCTCTTGGAGAATCTCAACATCCAAAGGTTGGTGATTTTTAACATCAATTGGATTTCTGACCGTCTCGTGTAAATATGTATCGTCGAGTATTAGTGAACTGTCTGCTCCTCTACCGGTAGAGCCCTTGGTATCGACTACTCTATTATCTGCTCTGCCTTTTGAGACTTCCGCTGAAGAGACGACTTCCCATTTAAAGCTCTTTCTTGGTTGATGTGGACCTGTGTACATTTGGACGTTCCAGATCCGTTTTCGATGTAAAGCTGTGTTTTCTCCGTTGCTCTTTCTTGGCCCTCGTAACACCTTTTCGCCCACCGTTGGATAACAACAATCTTTGCCTAATCTTGTGCACTCAGAACAAAACGGTTTTGTCTCGTCACATTTTCTCTTCCTTCTTTTGCACTCCCGGCATCCTCCTCGACTGTAGCCTCTTTTGAATATTTGCGTCATTTCACGTCTGTTGTCTTGAATTCCATTTGTGATGTCTGAAAGTAGATTGACACAAAGCATTGGTCTGAGTTTTATAAGTCGCTACCAATCTAGCCAGATTTTAGCCAGTATCCGATGGCCACTAGCTTGGATCTCATTTAGTCTACTTTCATTTGCTATTAATACGTAATTCTATCTACGGTACTTTCAAAATCCGTATAGTTTACCGGTTTACCTGCCTTTCGTAGTTCCCACACTTTTTTTATTCTTTCCAAGGTCAAGTTTGCGCTATATGAACCGGTCCTGTAGCATAATCCAAAGAATTTCTCAATCACTGAATGCTCTGCGAGTTCAGTGCAAGCAAAACCGGCAATGGACATTGGCCATTGAATCATCAGAAAGGCAAATGGAAATGACATGGTTTCATGTGCCGTCGAGTTGTCAAATACTCGCACCAAATCAACTAGCTTGGCAACTAGAGACTTCACATGTGGTGAATCAACTGGTATTTCGAGCATTCGCGTAAATACGGTGACCAAGCCCGCGAGGGTATATGCCTGTTGTGAAATATCCAGCCACGAGATCATCTTGGGATGACCATCCTGTTTCCGCACGATGTCACACAATAAGCCATGAGCAATTTCTCCATCAGGCATTGTTTCTATACGCGCAAATCTCTTGTCATGTTGAGCGCGAAACCCTGCAATCAATTTAGCGCATTCAAGTGGATCAGCTGAGTTCTGTGGGTCACTTCTCTTGAGCCTTAATAAATCAGAAAGGTCTTTGAAATATTCAAGACAGTCAATGTGGTACCCCATTACTACGCAAAACCCATTGTCCTGTATTAGACCAAACTCTCTCAATACTGATTGTTCATAAGGGCCGTCAAAGTTGAGCACCACGTTCATTTCTTCCTTTGTGCGAAGGGTACCGCCCATCATTGAGCTCAATCCAGCCAAAATCTCAAAATCGGCAAACCACATTTTGCACATTATCAAAGTTGTAGACAGTCGAATTTTGCTGTTTGTCGCCTTCATTATAATATCCTTGGCTCCTTTTAGATGCGGTCGCCAACTTTGCTTCTCATTACTGGCACTAGACGAAGCCAATAACAAAACCGTCAATAAAATACTTTCAATATTTGACGTCAAGTCACCCTTTACCTGCTTCTCTTGATTTCTGCTAAGTGCTGGACCTAGCAATTTTAGACAGGTGGATAGGTAGTTCCCGCAATTTTCCATATCTCTTTGACGTTCTTTATCATCTTCCTGTAGCTCCGATGCCAATCGCGCGCCTTGTGATAGCATTGCCGCAAGAAGAAAAGTTTCTCTAGCAGCATACTGCATAAGCACATCACGGAAAGGATTTATGTAATGAGAACATTTCTCAACATCGGCACCAAATGGTAGGATTTGCAGAGCAAAATCTTCGTAAAACTGTGTCATGTATCGCCTCTCGTCATCTGTCTTCAATGTAATATAATCGTAGGGTACATCCTTGGGTATGCTGTCCACAAACGGAGCCGTCACTATAGCGGGATCCAAAAAATTTTGGTCAAATGATTGCGTTATGTTGGAGCTAAACATAATGTCGTTGACGAGATTGTTCAAGTCAGTGGCTAATAAGTTGAGGTCGTCTCCAGTGTAAAGATCATCAAGCATCAAAGGTGGAAGTGTTGGGAATTCCTGAGGAGGAGTCGGTACAGCTGTTGTGTGGTCATAGCCTATTTGCTCGCTTGCCATTGCCACATGGTCTTGTGACTGGCCGTTCTTAGATGCCTCAATGGAGTTGCCATTACTATACTGATTTTCATTCAAAATAGCTGGAAGGGCTACCCCTTCCCACTTAACTTTTTTCTTTGGTTGGTCCGGTCCCATGTACATTTGTACTGTACGAACTCTCTTTACAATTGGAGAGTCCTCAATTGGAGAAGCTTCCTTCTTTTCTTCTATTATCTTCCTCGAGCCTCGGATTACTCTTTCTCCATCCACTGGGTACGAACAAACCTTTCCTAATCTCGTGCACTCCGAACAGTGTGGTTTTGCTTCATTGCATTTGATTTTGCGTCGTTTACACTCCCGGCACCCACCACGGCTATAATCCCTTTTGAACCGTCTTGATGGCATTTCTTTGTGTGGGTGACGAAGCCATGCACCGGAACTCTTCACTGTTTAATTTTTTTTTTCTTTTGCGCTGGCTCTCCTCTTGATCATCAGGTAGTTGATCTCCAGTCAATCAAGAAAGGAGTCATTTTAGACTCGAAAAAGTCATAATCATATGGGCGTGTTGGCCACGATGAGCCTGCAACGTGCCTGCAACGTGCCTGCAACGAACCATGTCTCAAGATTGGATGGTTCTCTTCTATTGAATACATTTGCTACGCACACTGTGCTATTCCCTTATAAGAATCATTATTTGAAGGGGCATTTCGCTACTTTGCCATGTGGTCGAATACTTCGTAATCGAGATCTGTGCATTAAAGTAGATAATTACAGCTATTGGGTGGATTGATATGTATGCAGAACTCACGCAAAATTTGTATACACTCATCTATGATGTCATAGCTTTGTTGCGGTGCACCGAATCTGAAAAATCCCTCGCGAAATTATTTAAAGCTGGTCAAAGTATCGCATCGTGCAGTGTGTTTTCTTTGCAATCAGAAATCAACTCAATAATGACACTTGCAAAACATTGGGTCTACAACAAAGACGAAGACATTGTATTGACACAGCTCAAGGGCTTGGTTGCCGCGAATCCATACGTCCATCTAATTGCCGATGAGAAAGTTGTGTTCAACCCTCACTCGGACACATCCAAAAAGATCACCGTTATTAGTGGAGGTGGTGCCGGCCATGAGCCCTTGCATGGTGGATATGTGGGAGAAAACTTGTTGGATGCCGCAGTAAGCGGTCAAATCTTTGCCTCCCCTTCTACGAAACAGATTATGGCTGCCATCAAGAAGAAGTCGGACAAATCGAAGGGGACCATTATAGTTGTCAAGAACTATACTGGTGACGTGCTACACTTTGGATTGGTGGCGGAGAGAGCAAAGAGCGAGGGATACAAAGTCGAGTTGGTGGCAGTCAGTGACGACGTTGCTGTTGGAAGAGAACAGAACAAGATGGTGGGAAGAAGAGGATTGGCGGGAACCGCCCTTGTGCACAAAGTGTTGGGTGCTGCTTCGGCGGAAGAAAAAGCTGAATTGAAAGCTGTGGCTGGTTTGGGACATGCAGTCAATGAAAACTTGGTGACGTTAGCCGCAAGTTTGGACCGTACTTCTGTACCCGGTAAAGCCGAGCAAGAGATTGAATTTAATGCAAACGATGAAGTGGAGTTGGGGTTGGGAATCCATAATGAACCAGGCACCAAGATTAAGCCAATTCCCAAATTGGACGACCTAATCAAGGACATGCTTCGTAAATTGCTTTCTGCCGAGGACAAAGACCGTCACTACGTTGACTTTGATGGAGATGATGAGTACGTGCTTCTTGTGAATAATATTGGAGGTACTTCTTCATTCGAATTGTACGCTATCACTGAACACGTTTTGCAAAACTTGCCATTAAAGAAGAAACCCACAAGAGTCTTGGTTAGTGATTTCGTTACCTCGTTTAACTCACCGGGCTTTTCTATAACCTTACTCAATTTGAGCAACATTGACAAGAGAAAAGTTGGGTATTCATCGAAGGATATTTTACGGTTCTTGGACACTCCCACTAATGCCCCGGGTTGGAAACCCAAATCGTATGCATCCAAGGATTGGGATATTCAACTGGATAGACAAGAGGATTCGCCAATGAAGCACCAGGCCTTGTTGACTTCCGATTTGAAAATTGATGCAAAGTCCTTTGAAGAGCATTTGAAAAGTGGGTTGGAGAATTTACTAAAAGAAGAGCCCAAAATCACTCATTATGACACCTTAGTTGGTGATGGTGATTGTGGTGAAACTTTGGCAGCCGGGGCTAATTCAATATTAAAGGCATTGAAAGATGACTCTCAGTTCAAAAAGCACTTGTCTGACCCTGTCGCCACCCTTTCACAAATCACAGAGTTTGTTGAGGATAGCATGGGTGGAACCTCTGGTGGAATCTACTCCATCTTTTTAACCGCTTTGGTGCAGCATTTGAAAGTAGCAGAAAAGGTTGATCATGAGACGGTTGCAAACGCATTTCACAACGCATTACATGAAGGATTGTTCAAGTACACCAAGGCTAGAATTGGGGGTAGAACCTTGGTGGACACTTTACAACCTTTTGTTGATACCTTCCAGGACACAAAGGATTTGTCGAAGGCGGTTGAAGCTGCTCGCAAAGGTTGCGAAGAAACAAAAAATTTGGAAGCGTCGTTTGGTAGAGCAAGTTATGTTGATAAAAAGGAACTTGAGGCTGAAGGAGGAATTCCGGATCCTGGTGCCGTAGGCTTACTTGCTCTAATTCAGGGATTTACGAAATAGAAGATTTTAGTTGTGTATAGTTTTGAGTTGTGCAGACTATAGTGGTTATGAGGTATAGTAGTTATCACTCACCTTTGTTATTTTTTTTTTCTTTTTGCAACCACTATAAAATCCGACTAAATATTACTTCTGGAAATGAACATTTTTTTATTTCAACAGTGCATCATGAGCAGCGGTGAGCCCATTCAGATTGAGCCTGACAACTTCTGTGAGGGAATAATAATCGGCGGTGGAACGTGCGGATTAGCCGTGGCCTCACGGTTGTGCGAAAACCATCCTGGTTCATTATTCACCGAGGATGAACACCAGCGTTTCCATTGGTTAAAGCAACGCGGTCACAAGACAAACAAAGTGAAAAGCAATCAAAGGTTCGACTACAACAAGTTTTTACCAAAGGATTTATTGGTTATTGACTCGAGGGGAGACAAGTTCATGTCTCAATGGAAAGCCCAATTTGAGGCCTGTCAGATTCCGTACTTACGATCTCCAATGTTTTTCCATGTTGACCCTAGTGACATCGATGGTATGATTAGTTATGCCCATATCAACCAAAGAGAGAATGAATTGATGGAGATTACCAATGTTGTGGGGAAAGAGTTTTCCAAACATCAGCAAAAGCGTATCAAACAGAAGTTGAAGCAAAATGAGGGTATTGTGGATATCAATATGCGTGATTGGAAAGATTACTATCGGCCATCGACAAAGTTATTCCATGATTATTGTGGTGAAGTTGTTGAAAGGTATGGGTTGGCAAACAGTATCGTCAAGGATGAAGTCGTGGATGTGGAATATAAGCTTATTCAATGTGGTGAAGACTCAGGCAAAGGTTTCATTGTTCGCACAAGATCGGGTAAGGTGTACGGATGCAAATTTGCAGTTGTTGCAAGTGGACACAGAGGGAAGATAAATTATCCACTTCCAATTTGTCCCAACCCACAATATCCGCATGGCTCATGCCACACAACACACTTGTTTTCAAATGAAGTCAAGTTTCTTGGTCAGCAATATTTTACCAACCCCAGCCGTAAAAACATTGTGATTATTGGTGGTGGTTTGACTCTGGCACAGTTAGCCCACGTAGCATGTCAGGATCCATCTGTGGCTAACGTGTGTCTTGTGTTTCGCTCGAGAATCAAGATTAAACACTTTGATTTTCATCTTGACTGGGTAGCAAAGTACAAAAATGTCAAGAAATCGAGTTTTTACAATTTGGAAACGAACGAGTTAAGGTATGAAATGACAAACGATGCAAGGGAAGGTGGTTCTATAAACCCAGAGTATTATAAGAAGTTGAAAACCCACGACAAGTCAGGCCGGTTGAAATGGTTAATAGAAACCCAGATTGTGGATCAAGTTTGGGAGGGGAATGCTTGGAATTTGCAGTTGAAAAACAAAAAGGGTGAAGCTATTGCTTTGGAGAAAGTTGACTACATTTACTACGCCACGGGTGTTCAGGCTGACGTGGGGTCTTTGCCGTTTTTGCAAACTATGTTTGACACGCACCCAATTGATGTTTGCAAAGGATACCCAGCAATCACAGACAACTTGCAGTGGAACAAAGACATTCCGTTATACGTGGTGGGGAAAAACGCAGTGCTACAAGTGGGTCCCACCTCTGCCAACCTCGATGGTGCCAGACTTGGTGCAGAGAGAATTGGATGGCATTTACAAAATATGAAGTTGCAAGGTGAATTTAACTGGTCACCAGTTAAAGTCGTCACAAAGAGTGACACTGCAGAACAGATGAACACATTTGAAAAACGCCTACAATTAGCAGGTGGGCTGATCAATTGGTTTGAACTTCTTGAATTCGAAAAATAAAACTAATACAAAATATACAAAAAGAAAATCAAAATTCAGATTCGTCTCTGTTAGTACGAAAGTAAATCTTCAGACTCATTTCCATCATCAACAAATGAAGGATCTGTTCTTTTTCTCCATACTTTCTTCACACGCCTCAAGGCAATCAACGCTCCTCCAGACCCAACCCTCGACAGATGTTCGAAAAACACACGTACTATATCCATCTCTCTGCTGTCATTTGGTTCCAAGTTTTGGCCGGCAACCAATACTGGCCATTGGAGCATCATGAGTCCATTGTCAGCCTTGTACCTCGACGATGGCGCAAACGGACTATAGTCATTAACAAAAGAAACCAAGTCAATAATGTGGTTTGTCAAAACCTGTACTTGGGGTGAGGTATATGACTCGTCAAAACATGTTTGAAGAAGGGTGATCATTGACGCTGCCATGTACAGTTTGTGACTCACATCAGACCATGAAATAACAACACCTCGAACGTCTTCAACTAGCACACTCCCTGGAGCAGTGGGATCTTTGACAAAGTCAATTTCTCGCAACGATTCAAGCTTGGCAAAAAGCTCCACATACTGTAGAGAGTCCTTAGCATTCAACGTACCACTTCTCTTTCTGTTCAAGATCTTGATCAATTCACGGAACGCACCGTAGCAATCGTGATGATACCCACCCATAATGTTGAATCCATTGTCTAAAATTAGTCCAAGATCTTTCAATGTCTTGATCTCGTACTCGCTGCTCAAATTGAACAACTCATCTGTTTCCTCTTCAGTTTGCAATGTACCTCCCTTTTTGGAGCTGATACCGGCCAACACTTCCAACGTCACAAACCACGCTTTACAAAACACAAACACCTTTGAAGGTTTGGCTATCTTGCTTGAACACTTCATCAACAAATCTTTTGCTCCTCGCAAATGTGGACGCCAATCCTGTTTCGGATCAGCTGCATTTGCAGCAGTTAGCAAAAGAACCGTTAGCAACACACTTTCAATCTTTGATGACAATTTTGTATTGTCAGATATTGCCGGATGTAACAACTTGAGACAGTCGTTCAAGTACAAGTAGTAAAACTCTTCATCCTCTATGTTTCGTGTCTTTGTAAACCTGGTATGGGCCCCATTAGCCAACACAGCAGCCAAGACATAATCAGTATTTGCTGCTGTGCTCAACAATATATCCCTTGCCGGATTGAAGTAAACGTTTTTCTCCTTGTCAAATGATGCAAATGGCAACACAATATTTGAAAAGTTGTAGTAGAATTCATCCAAATAGCTCTTATTCTGCGCATTTTCCAACTTGATGAAATCTACAGGAACATTCCTTTCCAACTTTTCAACAAAGGGCATTGTGTTTTTCACCTCGGTAGTTTCTTTTTCCTTGGCCTTTTCTTTGGATTCTGGAGCAATATTGTAAAGTATTCCATTCACCATATTTTGAAGATCCGAAGCTAACAAGTTCAAATCGCTTAGTTCAAATAGCTCTACCACGTCGTCACCAAGAAGAGTAGGTGGTGTAGAGAAGGATGCACCTTCATCATTGCTGTGCACCTCTGATGTGGAAGGCTGTGGGGCGAGTGTTGGTTGTGGTGTAATTGAGTTTTCTTCCTTGTCAATGTCATTTTTGTCCAATCCTTGTTGTTGTGATTGTTGCTGTTGAGTTGTTTGTGTATCTGAACCAGGTGAGTTATTCAATAAGCTCGACACCCCGGCACCACCGCCACCAGTAGTTCTATCAACTAGACGAGAGGGTAAGTCATAACGAATCTGGTTAGGGAAAATAGGACCTCCACTCATTGTAGGACCTGGTCGTTGAGACACTTGTGGAGGAGGTAACACACTCGAAAGTGGATCCTGACGGAAGTAGTACTTGAATGGGGTCGGGTTGGAACCATTCTCTTGAATAGGCAAAATACGACTTTGGTACAAACGAGGTAAATGTGGCTGATTGAGCGGTCTCTGCAAGGGTGGAAGTTGAGATTGCAGTGGATAAGTACCCTGAGGGTGTGGATACTGTTCTTGAGGGTAATGTTCGCGAGGTGGTCCGATTTGAGAATGTGGTTGTGGTGGGTGTAGTTGCAGCTGTGGCTGATATGGCACAGTAGAGTGTGCGTTCCCCGAAGGTTCGCCGTAGCCTCTTTGATGGGATTCGAGTGCCCCATGAGTTGGTCTCGATGCATCGTAATTATACAATAATTTCCTCCCCTCTACTGGAACTGTGTTTGAAGTTATTGACAATGGATTAGTTGCAATATATGGCACTCTATTCATCTCGAACATCCTCTGATTTTCCATCGGCAGTAAGGATGAACCTGATGACAGCATCTTTTGCTGCTTTTTCAGAACTCTTAGTACCTTCTCTCCCAAAGCTGGATAAGAACACTCCTTTTTCAACCGAAGACATTGCCAACAAGCTGGTTTTCCCTCATCACATTTGATTTTGCGTCTCTTGCATTCTCTGCAACCGCCCTTGCTATAAATTCGCTTGTTGTTGTTGTTGTTGTTGTTGTTGGTGGTGGTGGTGGTGGTGGTGGTGGTGATGTTATTGTGGCTGACATTATTCGGGTCATGTATACTGTTGCGAACGGTAGGGTTACTGTGGTGGCCATCGTTTTCGCCGTTATTTAAATTTCGTATGCCAAAGTCCATCACTCCAGTTGACATATTTTGTGGAATCAGAGTCAATGTGAGGTGATATATGGTGGCTTCAATGTCGTAGATGTATTTTGCAGTTAACAGCAGCTCCCTTTCCTACACCAAACGAAAAGTACGACAAGAAGCTGGATGAATCCTGGTGGGGAATATAATCTGGAACTGTCGGGTTAGAAAAAATTTTTGGAAGAAAAAAAACGCAATTTTCCAGCGCCTTTATTTTTCCGTATTTCATGCAAGAATAGAAAGAAAGAGAGAAAGAGAGAAAGAGAGAAAGAGAGAAAGAGGGAAAGCAATGATAGACGCAAAAACTGAAGGAAATCGACAGGCATTAACACAGACACACTAACGCTAACCCACAGACACAGTAACACTAACCCGCACACTCTCTAACAGTAACCCACAGACACAGTAACACTAACCCGCACACTCTCTAACTCATAACCATAAAAATCGGTTTTTATTCTTCAAACTTTCTCTCGTTTCAAAAAGGGAATGCTTTACGCGTCAATGGTTTTTTTTTTTCCAGTCCTGTACAGATACGGTCGTTGTTTCTTTGGAAACCGCGGTTTGACAGCTCTAAACTAAGTGACAGTTCAGATGGAATCTACAAGATTGAAGAATAGGGGTAAGTAGTCTGTACGGCACCAAAAATATTCAGGACGGGAAGTACGGAAACTAATTTTTGGAATGTTGTCATATCCCGTCGCGCCTTTGGTTCTAAAAAAATCTGTTGCTGCGCCTACTTTTAAATATGGGCGGTAACTGATTCTTTTATGTCGCAAGAGTTTTTCTTCGGTTTTAGCGTTCCAACGTTATACACAATCATATGAAACCGGGAAAGACTTAAGTGGGAGGGGTGACAGGTCTTTGCTAATCTTGAAACCATCTATGTGGTGTTTTTCTAAGTTTAGATTATCGACCATTCCTTTTCCTCAAATGTGCCCTTCCACCAGGGCCCACGTGCGCCATTCTAGTCGTTTCTAATGCACCATACGAACATGACTCTCTCCAAGGAACAGAGAAAAATTTTTATTTCAAAAATGTTTAGTTCTTCCGAGCAATTTCGAATTAGCTGCATCCAAGCAACAACTGTCATTATCTATTGATACACCTCTCTCCTCTATTATTCATCCAATGATCCGTGTCGCTTCGAATTGAAAAGAGAGAAAAATAAAAGTAAACAGTAAAAAAAAGAAAATAATTACGCGGCAATGCAAATTTTAACTCATCGTACATTTGCATATTCAACGTACGTAGTTTGATTACCCGCGTAGTTTTAATATTATACATTGTTTAGTTATTGTTACTTTTGATCATTCATTTTTGAGATCTTGTGGAGATTAAACTCCGAAGATGTGCAAAGACGCCCCTCACGCACAAGAAATTATATTATGTGTATATCTCTTTCTAAGGGACTAGGTCAAAGGCTATTTGCGTGGACAGAAATGTAAAGTTTCCCAATTTTGTCCTGATTCTTCTTAATTCTTTGCGTATACGTTTCCGGCTTTTTCCTTAAAACAACCACAAAGTAGGACTTATTTACTATTGCAGCCATACGGCATGACAGTTGCAACAGTGACTACTACCATCACTGCTTGAGCTAGAGATTGGAATTCTTGTTCAAAAGCTATGCTTATTGCCGTATTAAGCATTGAATTATTGCTCGTCATGAAATGTCTCCCTTACCATCCGAATATTCCCTACCTTAAACCCGTCTACTGGCGAGGTTAGGAATTTATTTGACTGTTGGGTTTCTTTCTTTGGCTCTCGTTACTTTTCGGAGTACATTGAGCGGTCACAAAAGGGTCCTAAAACTATACATAACTTTATTCGGTGCTAGATGACTCTCCGTATTGACTATGGTCCTAAATCCCTTTGAGCCATTTTCAAGTGCCAAACGTATGACCGGAAACGCACGGATAGAATTTTGCAGAGTATATACACTCCAATCTTACAAACCACCCCTTAGATGGGTTTGTGTGTGTGTGTGTGTGTGTGTGTGTGTGTGTGTGTGTGTGTGTGTGTGTGTGTGGCCGTTTGCCTGTTTGTCTACGAATTTTTCTTTTTATTCCTTGAGATTCGATATTATGCAACCAAAATGAAAATCGAATATTCCTCAAAATCTATATAAATAGATCCATCACCGATTCAATTCAGCTCCAGCACCTCATTTCCCCTCCCCCTTCATGAACAGTCTATAATCAATCAATACTAATAATGTTGAAAGCTGTTACGGGTAATAGACTTCCCCAAATCAGCACACATTTATGTGTCTCCACAATTCGATTCGCGTCAAACACCTCCTCAACTTCGACACTGCAAACAACTACCAAACAGACACCAGCACATCACGATGATTCCAACTTGCCTTTAGATAAACGAGCAATGGAAACTCCCCATACCACCCCGCAACGCAATGGCATTTTCGATATCTCAACCAAGATCTACAACGAGTCAGATATTGAAAAACACGACGATACTCAATTCTTGACCAAACCCGCCTACCCGCATGTTGGATATACTGAGGCTGGCTGCTACAGAGTTAAGATTGCGCATAGGGAGCCAAGGTCCATTGGAGATAAAATCGCATACCATGGCACAATGTTTTGTCGTGCTTGTTTTGACTTTGTTACGGGGTATAAAGTTCCTCAACCTGGTGAGTCACTCGACAAATACAAAGGTACAAGATATGAGATGACCGAGGGTAAATGGATGACCAGGGTGATTTTTTTGGAGCTGATTGCGGGAGTTCCAGGATCAGTTGCATCATTCTTGAGAACTTTGCACTCATTGAGGTTATTGAAAAGAGACAAGGCCTGGATTGAAACGTTGCAAGATGAAGCATACAATGAAAGAATGCATTTGCTTACATTTATCAAGATTGGCCAGCCATCCTGGTTCACCAAGAGTATCATCTACATCGGACAAGGAGTTTTCACCAACTTGTTCTTTTTCTGTTACTTGGCCAACCCCAAATACTGTCACCGGTTCGTGGGATACTTGGAAGAAGAAGCAGTGAGGACTTATACGCATTTACTCGATGAGTTGGAGGATCCAAACAAGCTCAAAGGGTTCCAAAACATGTTGATCCCCACCATTGCCGTCAATTATTGGCCTACTTTGACACCAGAGTCAAGTTTCAAAGATTTGATTTTGAGAATTAGAGCTGATGAGTCGAAGCATAGAGAAGTCAATCATACTTTGGCAAACTTGAAACAGGATGGCGATAGGAACCCATTTGCTTTACATATTAAGAATTTTGATAAGCCTCAACCTAATTATGGGTTGGATGTTGTGAAACCTACCGGTTGGGAGAGGAAGGATTTGTACCTTTGAGATGGATTGAGTAAGTGATGCTTATAGTGTCGATTAAGTTCGTTAGTGCTATTTATTTTTGATTTAGTCCCCCCCCCCCCCCCCCAATT